AGAGGAAAGTGAAATAAATGAAGAAAAGTATGAATCGATGACAACTATGACACCAAAAGATATCAATAATTTTGATGCAAAAAATTTGAAAATTCTTAATAATATTAAACAAATACAAGAAATTATTGATAAACTAAAGAACCAAAAAAGTGATTCTCAAAAGTCATCGCAAATGAATTTATCGACTAAACCACTAATGACACCAATTGTTAGACAGATGTACCCAACAGTACCGACATATCAGACACAAAACAATAGACAAAATATGTATAACACGGGACAGTCTTTTAAACCAATTTTTGGTCAACCATTAGCTACTCCTCCTCGTCGACCAATTATGAAACCCAGAGCTAAACCTCAATATAACTATCAAGAAGAAGACAATCTGAATGTAAATCCTTTGCAAATGTTTAACACAAAACTCATGCATGAAATGGAGATTCAAAATATGATGGCATATCCGACAAGCATTGAAGATATTAAAACAATTAAATTAAATACATTTCCTATTCATTAATTTCTCAAAATTAATTTAATCATTTGTAAATATTTTAATCGTGACATACATCGTTTTAAATTATTTATATTGTTTAATTTTAAATTATGTAAATATATACTTATCAATAAAATTGTAAATAATAGGTAATATTTACATTTACACTAAAAATTATCCAATTCAAATATTTATACAATTTTTCTAATTTGTATATCAAACACTATATTATAATTTTAAGATATATCAATATTGTGATTTAATAATCATTTGAAATATATTTTTACACTTTAATGGATTAATTTGATTTTTAAATTTTTTTTCCATTATTTTTCATTATTTCATTATTCATTATTATTCATCATCAATTGATAATATAAATCGGTATTTATACTATATTATAGATCAGTGGCTGTCCCAGTGAATTATTTAAATAATAATTTTAAAATATAATACATTTACTTATTTTTAAAATAATTGAAAATTATTTAATGTTCAATTTAACTTTATTTATTTAAAAGGGAAAATAAAACATAAATTTTAACAGATGAATGACATTAAATAGGCATTAAAAATAAAACATTTGTCTATTGAGCCCTCACTGCTTAAGATTCTATATTATACAGTATAACATAACTAATTTTAACATTTTGATATAAATTATTAATTAAAATATATTATTAATATATTACCTAATATCTCGATATCTAATGTAGATTTAATGTTAAATAATAAAAATTTGATTTCTTTGATATCTTAATAAAGACTCAATTTATTATTAACATGTCTGACAAATGTTAATTAAAATTAAATAAATATTTATATAGAAAAACTACAGTATATCATTTATTAAGATTCCTATTATATAACATTTAATTTTTAAATATGATTTTCACTATTTTACATATTATGTCAATTAATTAATTATATTAATTAAAATATTTTGTTGTAAAATTTAATTAATTTACATAAATTCTGAAATCGAAATAAGTGTCATTATGAAAATTTTAGTACAAATTGTTACACATATACAATATAGTAATCAAAACTCAAATCAAAATGAATAATACATATAATTTTATTTAAAAATATGCTAATTATATTCTGCATGCAAACAAACGTTGACATCCAATAAGTCACGATATTATACATTATTGAAATCAATTAAGGATTTACACTAAATATATACTGTATTATACAAACGCAAATAATTAGATTAAAAACTGTATTATACTATAAAATTACAAATATATTATTATAGATTATTTAGCATTATTTTTATTATTATTATTATAACACACATTCATTCTATTATTAGATAATAACCGAATCAATTTGCATTTTAACTCCCACTCAGTGTATTATTGTATATAAAGTTTGCAAATAAAACAATTATTACAATATGTTATAATCATTATATTCATGAATGATATAAATATTGTAAAAAAGCTATAAATGATAAAAATAATATTATTTTATTTTATAGTATAATATATACTTTTTATTATTTATAATTTATTTATTAACTCATTGAAACATTTTTTTTATTAATTATAACGAACTTTTTACTTATTAAACAAATTCCGTAAGGTTTTGTCAAATTAAAAACAAAAAAAAAAGATAAATTTGAAAAATAATGGGGAAATTTCTACAAGAAATTTATGTCTATGAGATCCCCCATGTTAATTTTGTTATTTCTATATTTTCACGAATTCCTGAAAGGAATACGTATATGCATTCTATAAGTCTGTCGGTCTGTCTGTCCCACGAGGACATAGGTTCGAATCCACATTCAGCTACACTTTTTTGTGATTTTTTTGTGATTTTTTTGATTTTTTAAGTTTATTTTTCAGGAAAATGGTGTCCAATAATTAATAAAAAAAAATTTTGAATTTTTTTTTTGATTTTTTTAAAAAATTTTTTTAACTTTATTTTATTAGGAACATAGAGAAAATAGTGTCAAAAATTTTTTTTTGATTCTTTTTCTTTTTTAAGTTAAGGAATTCGTATGGAAATGCTTTTGAAGCATTCTCAACTGGTTAATCTTATAATAAATAAATAATTATACAATAATACTGTACATAATACAATAAATAAATATTATTAGTATTAATATTTTAATTAAAAAATAATTTATTTAATTACATTAAACTAAAATCTTAAGTCTATTAATGAATTTATAATTTTTTAAAAAATTTTAATTAGATAATTATACTGTATTAAATGTATATATATATGGATCACATTTGTATAGTAATGTAGTGTAAGGTATATTATACAATATTACAATAGCTATAGATATGGGAATCCCATAGTATACTATTAAAGTAAATTTCTAGATAATTTACTAGAAATTTTTTCAAAGAAAATTAGAAATATCTATTTGACTATCTCTACAGTTATTCTTTAATATAAAAGCGATGCAAACAATAATAAAGATAAAAAATATAATTATAAAAGTTACGATTTAAAAATATTTCCATAAAATTATTGTAGTGATATACAAATAAAAAAAATATTAGATAATTTATTTTATCATGTATTAGTTTTGAGTAATCAGTTAGTTTGCAATTAGATTTTAGATAATAATAAAATAATTGATTTAATTAAAAAATAAAACTTAAGACCAAAATTGCCAAATTTGACATTTCTATTCATATGTAACATTGGTTATGTAATTGTATGTATACAGTAAATACTATATATATATATATATATATAGTGTTAATACGGTATTGTAATTCATTATGTGAAACGCCATTAGAGTCCAATTACTATTCACTAATACTTTAATTATAAAAATAGTATTACAAAAACGTAAATATAAACTGCAGAATAAATCAATTAAAGTATAATCAATTACAGTAGCAATGCTTTAGTATAATATTATGCAAATGTAATGATTACTATACTAGGGATAGAATATATGCAATCAATTATAATAATTATATTTATAATATCATAATAAATGACAAATCATTGATATTCTTTGTATACTTTACTTAGATTAATAATTACTGTTTAAAAAATGCAATTATTATTATTAATCTCTAGCGATAAACATAAGATTAAATTTACATAATATTAAATACATTAAAATTAAAAAATGGTATTAATATTATTAATTTTATACATACCTTATAACAAGATCATCACTAAAGACAAATACATTACAGATATTTAAAAAGTCAATATATATTAAAATTAAATAAATTTCAATTTAATTAATTAGTCAAAAAATGATTATTTAATTTACAATTTAATTAGACAACTAACACAAACAAATTTTTAATAAAATCGATTTTTAGAGATTCAGTCCTTTTTTATCAATAAATACTGATTTGTTTGGATTGAGTTTGAGATTACATTTGGTCTTACATTACATTAATGTTTAAGCTGTAAATTACAAATAAATATAAGTGACAAAATTACATATTACTTATACAGTATATAATAATAATAATATAATTAAATTGATTAATACTTAAAATTAAACAATATTTCTCTCTCATATTCATAACATGATTTCAAATACAAAAAATTATTTTTGTTAATTTTGAATATTAAATATATAGTAAATAGATAAAAGTATTATTTATAACAAATATATAAATAAATATTGTGTAACTAAATCAACACAAATCTAAGATCATGTTATGTTTACAGTTGACATATCATTCAAAATAATACTGTTTTTATTTAGTTTAACAAAATTACAATTTTAAAGTGTTTTAAACTACTTTTGATATTATAAATACTTGAGTCACTTAATAATAAATGTATATAAACTTATTTAGATGGAAGAAATGACTTATTATATTCATAATTATATGTTAACTCATATTAAAATTAATAATATATTTAGTTAAGATTAAAATAATTAATTATAATTCAAATCATAAATACAATTCGATTAATATATAGATAAAAATGAGAATAAAATTGTTAGCATTTTTTCTGTACACTCTTTGGTTTTAAATAATGTTGATAATTGTGCTGATCTTAGAAAACAATTGTTTTTTATAAATACAAATATATTTATATTAATGCAAATCTTAAAGAGTGACTGACATTATATAGTCATTATTACAGAATATATTATACAATAAATATCATTATTTCTTTATCATATATTTAAATATATGTTTTAATATTAATAATAAAAATTATATTAATATTAAATCACATTTATATCTCATTGTATACAAGAAGTTTTATGAATATGTATTTAAAAAGATAATGGCTATTAATAAGACAAATTTGAGAATAAAAGCAATTTTTGTGTTTTATGCCATAAATAGATAATTTTGAGCACTTCTAACAATCAGATTATGTTCTGATTTTCTGTAATATAAATTCACTCAATAGCTAAATAGTTATATAATTTAGTTATCAATCATTAAATGCTATTCTGTTTTGTATATAATAATTATTATTCGTTATTAAAACTGATAATAATTTAAAAATCAAACATTACTTCAAAGTTGCCTTCAAATCAAATCTTCAGTTTAAAAAATATTAGGTTTAAAATATTATACATATTTATATTTTTATCGACACAAACAAGATTTAAATAAAGAGATCTGTTTGTTATAAAAGATGAGATATGGGTAACATTAGGCCAGAATCTATTGCTTTCAGAGTATATAATTGTAATTCAACACCAAATTGACACAAAAATTTAGACTTAAATGCTTTGTCTTTGATGCCTAAACTCGAGTATTTTGGTCTTTTAAATTTTATTAACAATTCAATAATTACCATTTTGTGTTAAGTGTTTATAAATAAACAATTAAGTTAATAATTGGGTTGACTAGCAGTTAAAACTAACTAAAATTAAAAAAAAACAAAAATATCAATAATAAAAGTTACAATAAAATGATGAGATTTTGTCTTAAAATGAGGTGAGATTATTATGAGCTGCAATAAATTAGTTTAAAATATAATTTCAAATAATAAAGATATTATATAAATTAAAATTAACAAAAAATTAATGTAAAATGAGATAAAGTGTTATTGAAATTATTGATTAGTAGCTACGCTATGATATGAATTAATGTTGTGATTCAACATTTTAAGGGAAAAGAGAACAAACAAAGCAATATAGCTTTATATGTAGTATAAGTGTAGTTATTATTAAAATCATCGTTTGATGAAAGTATAAATAGCATTAAATCTGATGTTTTACTTTTAAACAAAATAGAGACGTAATGCAAGTTTTAGAGGAGAAAAATGAATGTTTGGATTAGATATTTGGTTTTAGATAATAATAGTTGCATTAATTTGTGTATCAATTCTATACAACAAAAAACGAGTATTATATTTGTTTTCTTCTGTTATCTTCACATAAAGTATATCTTTTGTGAAATATTAGTTGATTTATGAGATTTTTCGTTACAAACAATATTGTCTGAAAAAACCATACAATTATTGACCATTCAATAGGGTGTGAATCTATTGTATGCAGCACTTCGATAGGCAACCTATAGTTAGATACAAGTAGAAAAATGCAATATATATTTTAAAAAAAAATTATATTATAAAATAATATATATTTCCTAAATAAATAAATTCCATTAAAACAAGTAATTTATTATTACAAGATAAAGATTAAAATGTCTATAACTCCTTACCCCATATCCAGCCACCGGTCCAATACTGTGTCCTAAATATGGTTCAGCAAATTCACGGCCATAACTAACAAAAAATATAATATAAAAATCTAATTAGACTAAAACAAAAATAATTTAACTTTTAACTTGAATTTGCTACATATTTCTAAAGTATAAATACAATAACTATAAAATAGATATTAATATAAAATGTTGTAATATAAAAATGCTCTTAATGTAGAATATAATTGTATTTTATAAAATTTCATATTTGGAAAAAATTTATATATACAGTACTGTACTGTATATAACTTATTGAATGTTACACTAAAAATAATCTAAGAAACGATTAATAGATTAAATTCTTATAAAAATAAATTGACTGCTTTCCTGTTTTCATATTATGGATATGATTAATATTGACATACTGCACTTTGTTGATAACATCTAAAAATTTAAAATATCATTGTTTCAAAAAAAAGTAAATTAAATTTCTGTACTGTCAGCTCAATAATCAATTAGATAGACATAAAAATTTTAGTAAACGATTTTATTAATAAATAAAAAAAACTAAATATCTAGATTAAATAAAGATATATTAAAATTATGCATTAATAAATAATAATAAGTTATAATTAAGAAAAAATTATATTAAATTCTATTGATTTAAAAAATATTATATTATTGAACAATTATATCTAAACTTTAATGTTTGATACTCGATATCATTTAATTCAAAATAAATCAACTTCATGTATTATGACTAAACTAAAAAATGAATATATTTAAAACTAGATTTTATCTTAACACTTAAAATTAATGTTATTACCATTGTATAATTATACCAAGTATAATTCATTGTAAAATTTTTAAAAAATTAACACTAAAAATGAGAATAATTTAAAACAACAAAATTCTTGAGACAACTTTAATAAAATTACTTTAAAACTATGTTTTTTGGATTTATAATAAATTTTACATTAAATATATTTACTGAAATCTTTTTAAGGATTACTAATATTATATCATATCATATAAATAGTAAACTTCATATTTACTCAAAATGAATATTAAGTTGTTTTTAGATTTAATAAAAAATCGATAAAACAAACATTGAATTCCATAACATACTATAGTACAGTATATACTGTACAATATATCATAATATTCAATATAATGTAAGTTTGTTAAAAAGTATGTAAAACATGATTCAATACATTTTGACAAAACATTAGTATATGTAAATATTGAAGCGTTTATGTCAATAGTTTAAAAATATAGTAATATAATTAAATATGAGTGGTATATATGAATGTAAATTATGCCAATAATTTGCATAATTTTTTGTTATAAAAACTATAAATATTGATAAAATACAGATTAAAATTAAATTAATTATTTTAGTAAAATAATTAGAAACTAATGAATATAAAAACAAGTGGTACATACCCGGCAACACCAGCGTACGCGACGGCAGGGTTGGCCTGTGCAGCAGCGGCCGCTGCCGCATATTGTCGGGCAGCTGCCGCTGTGTAGGCAGCACTGGCCGCATAACTTGCCTATAATAATTTTATTTTTATATAATAATTTTTATAACTATTATTACTTTTTAAAAATATGGATAAAACTGACCGGCAATTGATAACGTTCAGAGCCTGCAGCAGCTGCAGCAGCATATGTTAGGAACGGGTCCTGATATACGGCACTCCTGGCAATGAGGCTGTCATTTAGTAAAAATAATTTATATTTTGTTATGAGTTAGTCACCAAATTATTACAATGCGTCAATTATACAATTATTTCAACGGTATATCAATTATTAAAGCATCTACTAATAAATTACAAATACCGGTATATAATGTATTTACTGTAATAATGTATATAATAATTAATAAAAATATAAATGATTAGCACTGAAAAGTAAACTGTAGGGAAAATAGCGAAATCATGCCATTGAATGATTAAATGGTTAAATAATTAAATGAGAAAATTGTTGATAACATTCATTGTTGATATCAAGTATGACTTACGGGGTGGCAGCATAACCATGCAAGGTTGTGGCAGCGGCTGCGGTAGTTAGTGGTTGTGGGTGTCTTGCAAATGCTGCCGCTGCGGCCAGTGTCTGGGCCCGTGCGACCCGAGTGCCCCTTTGTATCGCTACGCCCCTCAAGGCGGCCACTACTCAGTTTTCAACACATCAAATGTTCATTTGTTTCAATTATTGTATTTAGTTATTGAGTTCAGTTCCCAATCAGACCAGTCAGTCATCAGGCAATACAAGACAAGAAATATAAGAAAACCAAATGAGTACACATCACCTCTTGTTTATTGCAATCATAAATGCAAATTAAATTATATTTATGTAATTCATGCAATTTATTGTTATAGTTTTGCTTAAGCAATAGATAATCAAATGTTTATCAATTAAATCAAAGTTAGACATTTGAAAATATCAATATCTTAAACAAATTATTCATAAAATATCGTGCTTTATAATATAGACACACAAATAATCAGTTTAAATTTGGTTTATGTTGTCAATTATGTGTTATATTTAACTAATCTAATTGTTTTTTATTATATCATAGGTTTTATGGGTTAACAGAAATTTGTGCTAAAAACTTTGATTTTGTGCCAAAAATTATACATAAATTGTAATTTGAAAATGTATTTTATTAGTGAAAACATAGCACACATCTGATTGATTGATTAAATATAGTAAATTCCTAGAAAGCAGTAATGCTTGCCATTGTGTTATTGCTATCATTGAAACTTTACTTTCAATTTAATGCAAATAAGGAAACACCCATTTTTAGGACTCAACTTTAAATTATGATGCAATTGTTTAAAATGGTAGCAATTTATACATAAAAATAATTTCACAATTATAACAAATACTGACAATCATATGGATTATCATTTATGAGGTCTTTAGACAAACAATATTTAGATAATTAAATACAATATTCTTATTATAAGTTATATGTATATCACATCAATAGCTGATACCTGCTTTAGATATCATCAACAAATTTGATAAATGTTTAATTGGAAAGTAATTGTAATATTACAATCACAACAATTTATTATTTTAATTAATTGATCCAATTTGTTGACTAAAATATGCGACACAACATATAAAAAGCGCTTATATTTATAGATAATAATATGGGAATTGCTTTGCTTTAATTTCCATAATTTTTCAATATTGTAGTAATAAAATCCAATTTCAAATAACTAAAATATAAAACAACATATTATGCCTTACCGTTAGTAATGATGGCAGTAGGCGTTGGTTTTTTGGTCTGAACTCTAGCGGTGGCATTATTGACCTCAATCTTTCGGCCCTCAACTACCGTTCCATTCAATTGTTCCCGAGCTCTGTCCGCATCAGCGCACGCAGCAAATGTCACAAAACCAAAGCCCTATTTGTATAACAATAGTTTTAATTATTTGCTATAATAAAAACAATATATAAAAAGCAAAACCTATCAGTGAACAAGTTTATGAATATTAAACAATTGACAAAAAAATATAGCATATCATATGTGATCTAACTTTTCCCAAACATCTGTTCACCAGATTTTTGTCTCTAAGTTTTTTATACATCTAATTCATATAAAACTTTAGTGATTTACGTAAGCTTTCATTTTAAGTCAATAATAATATGTCTTAAATATAGAAAAAATTAAAATTTTCTCGTGTTGTTTGGCTTTAAACATCTGTTTAGTATAATATTCAATTTTAAAGCAAACTATAGGAATAACATGAGTGGGAAAGGGAGGAGAGAGAAGAGCTGTTTATTATTGCAAAAACCTGAGCCATAACTCAATATACAATACTTTATTGTCAATTGTATAGTACGGATGCATAAAAAACAAAAGTAAAAAAATTGTTGAACAAAGAGGTTGTGCTTTTTAATAGGTGTCTCAACATCTGTTCACAACTAGTTCTCAATAAAGTCCTAATCTATTATAGGTTTCAAATATAATATTAAACAAGAAAATGAAGATTAAATTGATTTGAAAATTTCAAATCAATTTTATCTCTAACACAACTAAGAGTTATGAATAGTAAAATAAATAAAATAATCAATGATTAAAATAAATGTAACCCTAAAAATTAATATTATAAAATATATAATTGATAACATTACTTTATAAAAATATAATACAATTCTTAATATATTGTAATATTCTGTTTATACTGTAGTCTATTACAAGTAATGTAAATTTTATTTAAGAAATTTATATATTAATTTTATCTATTTATTAATAGAAACTTATTGCCAAACAATATAGCCTAAAAATATACTATAATAAACTAAATTATTTAACACATAAATAGTTTCAGATAATAAAATTATATTAAAAAGTAAACCTTAGATCCTCTTTCGTTGAAAATTATCTCAACGTCCAAAATGGGTCCAAATTGCTGTTAGAAAATAAATTAGTGAATTAATTAAACTTAAATCTCATTCATATTCAGACAAATTGTTTATGTAAAATAAAAATATTTAAAAAAATCGATAATAAATGATTATTAATGAAATCAATTGCTCTGATCAACTAATATTTCACTTATGTAATCTAAATAATGGATTAAATCAATCAATAAATTAATTAAATTTTTCACCAATCAATTTATACAACTAAACTCATAATTAAAATATCTCTAATGCAAAAAAAACAATTTGAATTCAAGAGCATATTAAAGTCAATATACTAAATCAATATTAAAAACAATACCATAATTATTAATAATATAACTAATAACGTTATTATAATTACTAATTATGATAATTAAATTAATAAAATAAATAATAAAAGTATATTTCTTTATTTACCCCAAAAAGTTGTCTTAAGTCTGGATCTCTGAATCGGAAGGGAATATTCGAGACGTGAAGACGTTTCGGTTGATTTATATTAGGATTGTTTGTAGATATTGTCGACTGATTGATGGCCGCCGCAACTGCCGTCACATTCTTTGGTAAATCAATGCCATTATTAGCTACAGAATTGGTGGCAATAGTTGTCGTCGATGTGCTGACGCTTTGATTATTAGTATTATTATTACTTGTTATTGTATTTGTAATACAATTGCTTTTAATACTATTATTATTGACTAAATTTGAATTATTTAGTAAACTAGTTGTAAATGAAGTGTTATTTGAATTATTGGTTGTATTGTTATTTTGAAGAAATGATTGTGTGTTTGAACCGATGTTTGGGCTGCCATTCACTTGTTGTAAACAGTCGTCTATGAGATCCGTTTGTGTTTGTTGTTCAACAGATACCGAACCATTGGTTGGCATTATCTGACTTTCACTGCCTGTTGTCTCTAATGTCCAACTTTTTGTTGGAATTGTTTGACTTGTATTTGGATCAGATTCAAGTGATGATTGTGCTGTTAGTGAGCTGCCATTCATTTGACACATAGCATCGGATGAGGTGGTGGTCGAGGTATCGTCCGTCGGATCCACACTCTGATTGTCAACCAATGACTCGCTCTTCATGTCTGAGTCTGTCGTAATGACAAGTTATCATAAGATTGCTGTCAAAGACAACTAAGAAGTTAAACCAATTGATACTTACGTTGAAATAAAAAACTAAGTAATTTGCTGTCAATACTTGTTGTTATTGTTGTTTGTCATCAAAACAATGGTAAATCAGATCATTAGATAAATGAAGACATTGTGTGTAATCATATGATATGATGAGTGAAACGTTTGTTTTGTTTTTATTATTATTTATATTTTGATTACAAATCAAAATTCAATGCAATAAATGAATGACTGATTCAAATGAGTCGTACAATACATTCAATACATACAATGTATTCACACATTCACTACAACACTGTATGTGAGTCACAGATAGAGAGAGAGAGAGAGAGTGAGTCACTGAGTGAGTGAGTGTTAGACTCAACCAAAACAATCAATTGATTTGAATTGAGTCTCAATGTCTGGCATATAATGGTAGTGACTATTGAATGTACCGATCAATTGCTTTGTCTATGACTGCACTCCATTGTAAGCTCAGGCATGTAAGGCATGCGCTCACATACCTCACCAACAAATATACATCGATTTGCTTTAACATAGACTTACTGTATATATGCACTCAACAGATGGTATTGCAATAGATATTAAATATGAATACATTTTATCAATATTTTCAATGCATTTCATTCATAATATAATAATTATAGCTTTATATTGATATTCAATATAAGTGTATAAATAACAGTAGTTTTAGATTTTACAGAATTATTAATAATAATTAATTTAATTATAATATAAACATAAATAACTAATAAAATTAAATGTTATTTAAACAAAATTCTTTAGTTTTATTATAAACTGTTTATTAAGTAAATTCTTAATATATATGCTTTAAAATGCAATCATTTATAAATAGAAAACACTATAACTATAATACAGTAGATTTTACTACAAATAAAAGTGTTTTTAAAAATCATTGAAAATCATTGAAATACTTTCACTGTTTGATTATATGATATACATATTAATTCAGTGGATTAACTTAAAAATTAAAATAACTTAATAATTTTCATCACATTTTTTTGAAACAATAAATTGTGACATATTTTACATAATAATAATTAAATAAATAGATTTCAAAGTCAGTTTTGGTTGAAAATAACAAAATTATGACCAAAAACTTGAATCTACTGTAGATATAACACTGACAGCCTGTGGGCACTGACAGCCTGTGGGCACTGACCTAAAACATCTCTATTTTAAAATACTGTTTGTTATAATATGTCAAATATTTGAAGTAAATGTCGCTATGAATAATAAATAATTTTAAAAATGTCAAATTAATTAATTTTTAAAATAATGTATATTTTTTGTTTTTAACAAAAATTGTTATAATTAATCTTTTAAATTAATAGCTTTAAATATTTAAATGCATATTTTTGATTATATATTTTATTTTGAATTTAAATAAAATAAAACAATTGAGTGATTCCGGTATTTTATAACAAAAATATGTATATAGTTTTAAATACTAAAATATCAATTATTATAATAGATTTTGCAGAGAGATTTTGCGGAAAATTTTCCTAAAAATCCTAGTTTCGTAAAATTTTTTCTATAAATGTTGAACAAAATTTATAGAAAAAATTTTCTTTAACTATTTTACTAATTTTTATTAAATTCTAAAGAAAATATTTTACTAAAAATTAAGAAATTCTATATATAGAAACAGTAATTTCATTGTTAAATCTTAGTTTATTTTATTTATTGTTTCCAATAAAGTTTTATATAAATAATTAATAATTGTGTCGATAGTGTCGATAATAAAGTCAAATAATGTCGAATAGAAATTTTGATTACATTCAACTAAATTCATGCATTTAGTCGAACAATAATTTGGAATTGAATTATTAAAATAATTATTATTATCTAAATCTAATCTAAATCTAAATCTAAATCTAAATCTAAATCTAAATCTAAATCTAAATCTAAATCTAAATCTAAGTCTAAGGTGACCAGTTTATTATAATGAAAATAGAGGATTGTCATAATAGAATAGACATTCCAAGACTACTCAAACTTGACATATCAACAATATTTTGTCACTTTGTAAACACATCTTTCTAATTCATTTGGTTTTAATTTTGAAATAAATATTTTAATAACAAAAGTTTATATTAATACAGTATTACTATTAGTTTATTTAATTAAATAATTTATTTATGTGTGAATGTAGTATAATTTTAAAAATTATTTATATTGTAAATTGTAAATTAAATACAATTTTTGTTTTAATTTTTAAAATGTTATTTTTATCAATTTAATTATAATTTTATTTATTATAAATAATTAGTATAAAAAATAAACATATATCACATAAAATATTAATTTGTATTTATTCAAACTATATATAAAACATTTTAAAATTTTAATCAGTTTATTTTTCTATAATTACATTTAATAACTCAAATATATAAAATATATATTTATAAAATAAAAATAACAATTTATTAGACAATTAAAATTAAATAATTTAAGTTATCAATTGAAACATTTATATTTTAAAATATATAATGAAATAAAGACAATATTAAAATATTTTATTTTAACAAAATAAGAAATTTAAAAAATCATTGATTTTATGTATAGTACAGTATTAACAAATATAGTACTGTATGTGTATTTAGTAGGAAACATTGAAAAAATAGTTTTATAATTAGTTTTAAGTTCAAATTTTAATAGGACTACAATTATTTTTCATTAATATTTTTTTAAAATTTATAATCTTATGACAACTGTAAACATTGATAAAAATTTGTAATATACGTTAACAATTATGTAAAAATGCCATGCTTATTTTATATTTCATTAAATATATTTTATAATATAATGTATTTTCTCATTTGACAACCAAATATCAATTTATGATTTTCTATGGTAGAGATTGATTAACAAATTTTATATATAATAGAATAATAATAACTTTAAAGAAAGTTAATATTAAAATTCACTAAAATAATGATAATTAAAGAAATAATATTTCTTTTTGTTTATACATGGAGTATAAACGGTATCTATTTATATACTTATTGTTTGAAACAAACTGTTGTATAACTCAAAACCTATATTATATAACAATATTTAGTTATATAATTTAGGTTTTGAGTAATACAACAGTTTGTTTTAAACAATAAGTATATTTAAAAGATTTATATAATTATTTAAAACGTTATACTAAACAAAAATATCCAATTGTCATCAAATTTACAATTCTCAATTATCTGGTCAACAATATGTTTGATTAAAAAGTGACCAAGGGTAATGTTGTAGATAATTTTAAACTGAATAAAATTGTAATTAGTCATTTTTTAATTAAATATATGATTGGCCAGATAATTGCAGTCGACTATGATTTATAAATTTTTTAAACAGTCGAATATAAATTATCTGGCTAATCATACAATTAATTTATAAATGACCAATTATAATTTTATCCAGTATAAAATTATCTACAACATTGCTCTTGGTCACTTTTTAATCAAACATATTATTGATCAGATAATTGTAATTAATAGCATCGCCGCCGCCGCTGTTTAAGACTCTCTCAACATTTACAGTATTATCTGAAGTATTAAATAATAATTTAATAGCATTTTATATTATTGTACTTTTCATTTTTCATTAAAATATAGTCTATAATACTGAATATTAAAAGCACAATAATATGAAATTCAATAAATACAAAATTATAAAAAAAGATATACTACACTAAATATAAATGTAATAATATAATAAAAAATAATATTACAAAAACTATAATAATAAAAGATAATGTATAAAATTTAATTTTTTTAAATTACATTTATTTCACTATAAAACTTCTAAAACTAAATTAATATCATTTTGTATTACAAAAATTATATATTTATATACGAAAATACAAAATAGTTAATTTGAGATATAAACATAACTATTGATATTATAGACTATAATTTATAGTTAGTATATCTATAATAATGTCAATCAAATTCTTTTATAACATTAGAATTTTATTCTTTACTTATTTTAAAAATATTTATTTAATACCAAAGATAGCTTCTGTATAAGTGGGCGGCAGATCCACAAAATTGGGTGAATAAGCGCTGCAATCATTATATTTATTATCATCGGCTAAGACAACAGTTTTGTTAAGAAATTGTATGTTTTGATCGACAAATGGTTCAAATATATGACAATCACTATAAGATGGTGGAAGTGAATGTGTTTCATATATTTTGTTTGAATCACTTTTGGTAGGTATTGTCAGTACAATAGGTAACTCAACTTTCAATAATTCTTTTGAATCTTCAATTTCAATCAATACTCTAATTTGATAATTGATTTTCAATATATTACAGTCCAATGACATAGTTTTTAAATTGGATGGAATTCCTAGTAATATACGCTTAGAATAACTGTGAGATTTTGCTTCAATTATGTCATACATGTTGTCATTTGATATTTTACTTTTGATTTTTGTATAAAAATAGTTCTGCTTTTGTTGTAATGATAAACTTAGTTTGAGATTATGGTCACTATTGTTGTCAACATTACAATATACTGATATTTTATCTCCTGTTTAATAAATAAAAACATTTCATATTATTAGTATTTGACACATCAATACTCTATTTAACAATAGAAATGAATACCCGGAGTAATCCATCCGTTGTCTAATTTAGCGAAAACTTCTATAAAATTGTTGAAAATTCCAATTTTCTTTCTAATCATTGTTGAAATTGGTGTCTAAAAATTAAATTACTCTCTAATTAGTCGTTTAAGGCATTAAATTAAATTAATAAATATATTATTAATGGTTTATATATTTAATTATAAGGTATTACATAAACATCGTCTACATTTCCATTGTATGGCGCGATTACAGTTAGAAAAACTTCTTTGCGAAATATATCCCAATCTTTATGAATAATAACTTCAATTTTGTAGCGAATAAAACCAAATTTGCCATAAAATGATGAAACACAGCCTTTTCTAAAATTTATTTGTAAATAATTTTATTGTAATTATAAGTAAAAATAATGAAAAAACAATTCACTTATTTCAACAGAATTTCATATAAATACATATAAATAAAATTACAGATAATAACAATTCAATATTTCTATTAAATTATAAATTTATCAATAACTTGATTTTTTATATCAATATTATATTTTTAAATTTTATTTATTATTATTATTATATTATTAATATATTATTATTTGTTTTTATAGTGTTTGAACATTATAAAAACAACTTCAAACGTTAAATTATTAAATTTATTTATATTATTTAACTTTATTTAAGTAGATATTTTAACAAAATTAACATTATAAATATTACAATATAAATATACAAATTTTATAATTTAATAATAATAATATATGAATTAAGAATAGAGAATATTTGACAAATAAATAATTAATAGATAACATACTCAGGTATTGTAAAATAAAAATCAATTTCAACCAAACCTTCCAATGTTTGATCGGTTGCCGCTTTAAATATAATATAGAAATATTATGTTAACTTAACACAGCCATGAAAATCAATGTAGTTGTATAAAGAAATTTATGAACTTGGTGAATTTATTCAAAAAATCTAGTTAACTTAACAAAACTTGCCTGTTACTTTAACATTATATAGTATTTTTAATAGTAACATTTCAGTTAACAATTGCTGTACAATGTTAAAGTATCAGGCACGTTTTGTCAAGTTAACTATATTTTTGAATAAATTAATTAAGTTCATAGATTTGTTCATATAACGATATAATATAGAGTAATTAATTATCAGTGAATATTATTAGTGAATATTATTAGTGAATATTATATTATTAGTGAATACTTACATTTTTTCAAGAGATCATATTTATCAATCAACTCATACATTGATTGCTTATCAAATTTTCTATCAATTGTTAAAATATATACATATATTAGTATAAATTCAATAAAGTAATATAAAAAATATGAGAAAATGTTGATTACGTTTGTTTGCAATCTACAAATGCCTCAAAAATCAGATTAATATCGATGTGTTTGAATTGAATGTTTCCTTCAATATTCAAATAACACTTTCCTTTGACCGCATCTCCAGCTCTATAGATGTGTTGACTTTTATCTAATTCAATACTAAAATGTTTGATAATAGGCATAGATTTTGACATTTTCTTAAAATTTTGTTGACAACTAACAGCTCTCATGTTTGAAATTTATATTAAAACATTTCTTTATTAAACTATTCAATACTCATATATCGATCGCATCCTTAATACATAGCATAACATCTGACGCAAGTCATGTCAGTTCTGTTTTCAGACTAAAAATAGTATCAAAATTGGATATTAAAGTCCATAACATTAAGGTTTGTCTAATAACATGAATTTTAGACTTTTTGTTACAATGTGTTGCGCTTGTGATCAACTAATTCAATATTTTTTTGTTATTTATTCACTTATAAATCCATATAAGTGTACACTAGTATACTGTAGTCTATTTCAAAATTAAAAAATTAATATATAAAACTTTAATTACTCACAATTTGTGACATATATTTAGCCGATTATTGTCTTCGGCCTTAATTGCGGACAAATTATTGCAATATTGTTTCGGACAGTAATTGTCTCTGTCCTTCATCAGCGCAATTGCTGTACATTAGTGACAGCACTGTTGGTCTTTAGGTACTTACGGTGAGAGAGTGACCACAAAAAGTGATAATTGATACCATGTTTAGTGCCATAAAACTTATTTGACTAGTTTTAACATAAGTTTTTTATACATAATAATACAAAACTGATTGTAAAATTCAATAGTATATACATAGCTCCCACAGAAACTGGCAAATGCCAGCTTCTGTAGGAATTACTAATTAATTAATCAATGAATTCTAAATATTGATTAGGTAAATTTGTATTAGAATTAAATTTATCATTCATCAGCGGTATATTTTTTAATTTATTAGTTTCTATATACCATTTTTCTAAAAATTTACGAGCTTTATTATTGTGTTCGTGAGCTAAAATTTTTGGTTTATTAAAATTAACCTTATGGTTTAAGTTTATTGAATGATCTGCTATATTAGATTTAATATTATAATTATGTAATGCATTTTTATGTTCTTTTAATCTATTGTTTAATTTTCTTTTAGTTTCTCCAATGTATTCATGAGTACAATTATCACAATTAATGTTATAAATTACACCTGAGTTATTTAATATTTCAATGTTTTTATTTTGTTTTAATAAATTTTTAATGTTTTTGCCTTTATAATATACTGTATTAATATTATATTTTTTAAATAACATTTTTAATGGCTGACTTAAACCTTTATAATAAGGTATAATAATATTATTCGATAAATCAAATTGATTATTATTTACTAAATTATTTTTATTTGTTTTAATATTATTAATTATCATAAAAATAAGATTTTTTGGATAATTATTTTCAACTAATATATTTTTTAATAATTTTAATTCATTATTTAAATCTTGATCATTATTACAATGATTAAATGCTCTACTTACTAGAGTTTTAATAACAGATAGTTTATATTGAATAGGATGATGTGATCTAAAATTTAAATATCTGTTAGAATGTGTAGGTTTCCTATATACACTAGTATATAATTTATCATCTATTTTCTTAACTAATATATCTAAAAATGGCAAAATACCTTGATTATTTTCCTTTTCCACAGTAAATTTAATTGTTTTCATATAATTACATGTATTATTAATGTGATCTACAAATAGATCGGCATATCTTTTATTGAATTCTGTGGGAGCTATGTATATACTATTGAATTTTACAATCAGTTTTGTATTATTATGTATAAAAAACTTATGTTAAAACTAGTCAAATAAGTTTTATGGCACTAAACATGGTATCAATTATCACTTTTTGTGGTCACTCTCTCACCGTAAGTACCTAAAGACCAACAGTGCTGTCACTAATGTACAGCAATTGCGCTGATGAAGGACAGAGACAATTACTGTCCGAAACAATATTGCAATAATTTGTCCGCAATTAAGGCCGAAGACAATAATCGGCTAAATATATGTCACAAATTGTGAGTAATTAAAGTTTTATATATAATGTGTGATTGTGATAACATAAACCTAAATAAACTTAAAAAATTAATGTTTTAAAATTTTAATAAAATAAAAATGGAAATCTATAAAATTATTTCATTAAAATAAATAAATATTTTATAATCTTTTTTTAATAATATATATACAGTATATTTATTTTATTTAAGTTATTAATTTTAATATTTTTATGAAACTAAATCATAATCGAAGAGCTAATTTTTAAACTACATCAAATGTTATGAATAAATATATTAAAACAATATATTTAATGCTAAAAATTGCGAAACAACTCTACGTATAGAATCTAGAAATGAACTTTTTCTCAATTTTAACATAAATTTGTAATAATTAATATTATTGTAAAATTATGATGAAATGAATAGGATAATAATGTATTTTAATTTTTTTTATTAAATATTATTTATACATCTATCCAATAATATTTTATACATAAATGTTATATTTTACAAAATTATGTGTTAATTGTAAACAGTTTTTAAATATTTATATAAATAAGTTGTTTAATACTGTATAAAACTATAGATAAATCCATAATTTTAATGCTTATAAAATTTCCGAATAAGACATCAATTTATTTAAATACTAAATTTTTAGTCATAACTAAAGTACATCAAAACGTCTAATTATTAATGACTACAATGAACTTATTATTATTAATTATTATTAACACATTTTAAATTAATTATTTTGTAATATTTTAAAATGTTTTTAGTTATGTTTAAAAATCTACACATTATATGACAAAACTATATTTATGAGTAAAATATTATTATTAGATTGCGTTTAATAGCCTTTACTTTTCATAAATAACAAACTAATATAATATCATATATATAATTTATAATATTATATTCAATACTTGAGTAAAAACTCATTATTTATGTTTAAAAATTACTTGTTTAATAAATATTATTTTATTTAATCAGTTTAGTGATTTGTTTGCAAAATTAAAAAATATTGTATTATTGTGAATGCATTTTATGACAATTGACACAAACAATACTAATATATCGTTTAGTAAATATTTTAATTAATTATAAATCTGAAAATTACTCGCAAAATGAGGTAAAAATCGTTATATATATATACTGTATATACATACTGTAGTGAACTTTGTCAAAATAATAGACTAATTTTTACAAAATATTGTAATATTTCAAAAAATAGTATAAAATGTTTGCTATTTATAAACTTCAATTAGTCTATAATAAAATTGTATCATTTGTTTTTTGTTGTTAAGACTTAAATAGATGTGTTTGCAGACAAAATGACAAAAATCATGACATTTTATATAATTAATAATAAAATTTTCCTTAAGTGTTATTTTTACGGAGTTTTTTATAGAATTGAATTTATCTTTAATACCTGGATCTCAAAGCATTCAAAATATAAATGAATAATATTTCGACATTATTTGTTAACTCTATAAATCATTCAATCTTTATAAAACATGACATGACCTTCAATTATGTGATATATTTACTGATATCAAGATATTAGTCTAATAGTTAAATGAAATATTATATGTTATACAAAATATGAAATCATTTTGTATTTTTGTACTTTTGTACTATTCAAATGAAATATTTTTATTTGTTAATTTTATATTTGAAATTTTTAATATAATAAAAGCAAAATGAAAACATACAAAATAAACTTTACATTACATAAACGGTTTTCATTTGTAAAAGATATATCAGATAACTTATATAAAATGTAATGAAAATTTTTTGTATTAATAATTTGAATTGTGATCACTAAACAATAAATTCTATATTATTAATATTATTGTTGTTATAATTAAACAATATTACATATCATATAATTATTAATATAGTCATCTTTTATGAATAAAGCTATTAAACGAAAAAGAAAAGTAAAGTGCAAAACAAATATTAAATAATTATATTACAGTATTAATATAATAATAATAATAATAATAATAATTAATATTTAGTGTATTATTAAATTATATGAATATAAAGGGGAAAACTTGTAATACAAGATATGGTTGGGCAGTGAAAGTGAGTTAAACAGTGACTTAATTGAACTGAAATTAATTACGAAATGTATGGATACTAATAGCTTATTAGTATTAAGACGAGTGAAAAAACGGGATGTCGTGTCGTATACTTCATATGTTAAGACAAATTCAAGGCTTTCAACAATCAAATGGTGATATTTGAAGATCAAAAACAAAATGCTTGGAAAACATACTAACCTCACGAAGTCTATCAAAAACTTGTGTTCAAAGCTATTTCATTGAAACTTATTGTTTGAATAAGTTATATAAAAATAAAAATATGTTCAAAATTATTATAATAATGTAAATTATTCAAATCGTTCATCAAAAAGCTATTTATTAATTATTATACATAAATGCATTTATTATGCTAATTCATAAATCATTAATTTGTTTGACAACTATTGATTAAAAAATATTTAAATATTTCATTGAGTTTATAATTACTGATATTGAATATTCACTCAAACCTATTGTCAATAAGAGCTTAACATAATTATTGTTAAATTTATTGATATTCAATGAATTTAATTTATTTAAAAATTATTATAATTGAAGTGTTATTGATATTTGTTGGATATTGTTATTGTGATACATGGATAACATTGTGGAATAAAGTAGATCTTCCTATAGAAGTGGTTTGCAAACGGGACGGACATTTCAAACGCACCTCATTTAAGATAAAAACACTTCAAGAAGATCAACGATATGACATCAAAGCGTATGTTTCCTATTGTTTTATCACAATTGCTTACAAAGTTTAATATAAAGTAATTTAATTATAATTAATATTTAACTTTTAAATAATTTATTTAATTAAACTTATTATAATATATTAATATTTTGTCGTATATTATTAATTATAAAAACAATAGTTTTAGTTGTTTTTTAACCTTATTATAAATAATAAAGTCCATGGTTATCTAGTATTTCTAGTAGTTTAAAGGATATTTAAATTATAAACTAAGTATTAATAAAATTACAGAACTATTGTTTACTTTTATTTGAATTATTACTTAAATGATTTTTATGTTTTATTAAAAGCTTAATAATTATAAACTAAATTAATGTTATAAATTAATGGAAATTATATTTATATAATACTATGTTTTTAATATTAAAATTAATTTGAACAAAATTGTTGTCAAATTTATATAATGTTAGCTTTAATATTAATAAGAAAATTTGTAAATTTCATATATACAGTACTAGACATTGTATAGCTTTAGGATATGTTCTCAATAATTGATATGCAATCTGGTGGCTATTAAATCAAATATTACTTGAATACTTGAATAATAATCATTATATGACAGATAAAAAATGTAAAAATTAATTTCTACTCATTTAAAATTTAAATTATTAATTTATTATTATTTCAAAGTCATTTCTCGGAAATAAAAAATTATTTTTTAATAATTAATAGCAATATTTAGCACAAAAAACTCAAATATCTAAATATATTTTTTTATAATTATAGAAAATACCCAAACGGTTATTCCAAGCGTTATTACCGTCACTGGTGTGATGTGACGGTCGGCACTACTAATATACAGTTTGATGTATTTGGCGGACGAGATAAAAGAGTTAACAAATTATCCGATTCTTATTCAGATTGGATTATAACCAGAGGTGGGATATATAGAGTAAAAAAAGGATCACTTATTCTTTATTATGGAAAGAATTGGTTGGGAGAAGACTATGAAGACTTAGAGGACGCTGTGATTGGAACTCCGGAAAAGACATTGAATCCGTCAGACACTCAGAAAATGTAATTATATTTTATTTATTCATCAATTTCTGATAATAATAATAAGTTTTATATATTAGAGCGCCATTAGAGGTACACTTGACCTCATCGACACTGACATTAGCTCAACAACGACTGGCCATTGATAAGGCAACGTATGCTTCGCACAAATTTACAAAAACCAAAGCAATGGGTAAATATATAGGCGACGCCATGAAGAAAAAGTTTGGACACTTTTGGGCCGTTTTTATAGATCAGCCCGAAAACACTAAAGTAGTTAAGAGGACCTGTGATACGGATCAAGTGATGATCTTTCAGATCAATAATGTCGACTTCATTGTCTGCCAAGTTATGCGATAAAACTATTAGTAAATATTTTATTAGTAAATAAATTGAAACAAATTATTTGAATTTAATGATAATTAATTCATAAATTATGGCCAATTATGTGATACTAGTGATTATGATATCATAACTTATTGTTAATACATTACCGTAAAATTGTGTTTTTCCCCATATGGAATTAAAAAAAAATGAAAAATATTATTTTCACATGTAAAAAACTCGCTTTTAACCACCCTTGGTAAATTAAACAAGAAATTTAAAAAAAAAATCTGTGGGAAAATAAAATTTGGGTGAATAGGGAACTGTAATGACCTATAATTAACAATAATCTATTAAAACCGGTATATTTAGATATATATACCGGTAATTAATTAATTAGTTATAACAGTGTTTAAAAATAAATGACAGTTGTATACATTTACATTATTTTTACATATTATAAATCGATAAATCTTGAAAATGTATAAAAACAGGGGGAAAATTATTATTCAAAGTAAACTACATTTTTCATATGGTACAAAATTCCTCATGACATTTCCATATGGGAGAAAAAACACGATTTTACGGTAACTTTATATCCATAAATTAAATGCAATTCTAAATGTCTTAATTAATGACATTAATAATATAATCTTTTAGTTTACATATAATTAACTATTTAAAAAACTTGTAAATTTATATTTATAAATATTTGACTAAATATACTCAAGTAATGATTAAAGATTATTTTGATAAATTTTAATTATTATAACATTTGTTTGCAATCATGTAAATTTTTATATTAATAAAGTGAATAAATATTAATATAAATATAATTATATCGTATTTATAAAAACTCGTTTAATAAAATATTAAACAATTTCAAAGATTTACAATCAATTTGATAAATTTGATTAAATATACTGTATATCAAACAATTATTGTAAATATTATAAAACTTGAAAAAATATTTTATTGAATTTTATAAATGAAAATACAAGAGTATAAAACTAGAAATGGTATATAAAAATTATAATTGACATAATGTACTTTTCAACAATATTATATTCAACATATTAATTATGTAATTTAATAAATCATATTTATAAATTTTAGACTGTATATATAGTATTTAACATTGACCATAATTTACATTATATATAATATTATAGTAGTAATAATCAGAATAGCTGTTAGCTAATATTATATTAATAAATTTTAATCGTTAAATATTAATATATTTTAAAATCTTAATTTAGTTTTAGTACAGTATATATATATATAGTACCGGTTAAAGTATTTTACAAACAAATTGCTATACAATACATTGCTATTATTTGCCGATTTGCTAAATCAGTTAAAGTTTACATAAAAATATTTGCAAATTTCCCAAATTACTTCATTCAATTTGAAATTACACAATATTTTTACAATTTTTTTATTAATATTTAATAATCCTTAATAACAATAATTTAGATATTTTATCTTTTAACCTTGATAAGATTAAATCTGTATAATCCAGGGTTAAAATTCTATTTTTCAGTATCTTTATAATTCTATTTACAAAAAATACAAAATATTTGTGTGATTAGTATATGCAAACATTATATGTTCATAAAAATTTAATAAATATTTGATATAAAAAAAGTTTTATAATTTACTTAATTATTAACATTTTGAGTTCACTAATAAAATATGTTTAGTGTAGTAGAAATGAAAATACTATATTTTTTATACAATTGAATTACCGGTAATTGTTTGTAATTAATATGGTATTAATACAGTATATTAATTTATTACTATACTATCACTACTACTACTACTACTACTACTACTACTACTACTACTACTACTACTACTACTACTACTACTCATTTACAATATCATTACAATCATTTGTATGTCTGACTATAACAGGAAAATTAAATTCAAGTCCCGATGAATTGTCGTCAATATATATGTTAACAAAATACTTGACTTGAATCAGTGGACATGTTGTGGATGGTCTTGAATTGGCGGGAATGGGTACTCGCAAGAGTCCAGTCGACTGTTTGTTGGATTCAATATATGGTGTATCGGTTGAGATGTGTTTTTCAGTGCAATCTTTTCTATGATCTTGTGCTCTGTATATATGTTTTTCAATTAAAGTTGCTTTCAATTTAATGGCACAACTCTTTCCGTTTGTGATATCATAAGACACAACAATGTCATCACCTTTTTATAATACAATAATTAAATTTGATTATAATTATAATCGACAAAAATCCAGTTAAATGTAGTCTCACCTCCATTGAAACAGTTTTCAGCAATACTTAATTCAATATCAATGGATCCCCTCTTTATGAAACAACAACAATAATTCCTTAATTTTCTATATATTACTGGTGTCTGTAATGACATTCAATAAAACAATAACTAATAAAACATTAAAAACAAATTTTAATGTATTTATATATTTTTAATTATTCGGTGTGTTTTAAAAAAAGCTTTACATTATTAGTAGCCTTGAGAGGTGAGCACAGGTAGAATTTAGTACGGGTTTCGTGATTCAATGATAACCACGACTTATCAATCTCTGCCTCAATCCAGTAGTGAATTTGACCGAAATTTCCTTTAAAACTGTTTGGTATATCTCTACAAATTGTTATTGAAATTAATTTACTAAATAAATGTCTGATTGTGTCTAATAATGTAAAATAACACTTACTCTGGGATGTGAAACACAAATGGTATTTGATGGACACTTTTTTGTACTATTGTCTCTTTGGCTAATTAATCAAACAACCAATTTAATATATACATAATTTTTTAAAGATAATTTTATTTATTTTTTTAACTAAAATCTTTATTTAAATTTATAAAAAATACTGCAAAAACATTAAAAAATTAAACATATCTATACTACTATATAATTTGGAAATGTTTGTATCATTTTTCTGTTACGCAAACAATTAATTTTAATGTGTCGCGCGATTATTAATAATTTTAATTTATTAAATAAAAAAATTAAATAAAATATACTTTTTATAATACACTGTATATTATATATAGCGCGTGAAAGCATTGTTTAGTAAAGAGATAGATTGAGAGAGAGAGAGAGAGAGAGAGTATTGTTGCACGTGTTAACTATTGATACACATTTTATTACATGGATTTAACTAGTTTTGTTAGAAATTAAAATTTGTGTTAATTTCAAATTAATATAAAAATTTAATTTATTTATAAAAATAGATGTAAATTAACATTTCTGGTTAACATTTTAAAGAATCATAACTCTACCCAATATATAAATATGGTAATACACAAAGTTATGCACTTAATATTGTTTTTATTGTACTTATAGTTAATATTTATACAATACTTGAGTTATTAATTTAAGTTATTAACAATATTATAAGTCAATATACCTGTAAGTTATTATAATATTATATGTTATGAGTACTACAGTAAAGTTATGTCTTGTAAATATTACAAAACTATAACTATAATTAATAAAGTAAGTAAAATAATAAATGCTTAGTTATATTATTTATTGTAAAGTTTTAATATGATATATAAAAATGTTTGTTATTATAGTATTGTTTATTATTCTATTAGATTATTAATTAAATAATTGCAATCTAATTAATTGTTTTGTTTTAAAGATAAAATAAATAAAATAACAAAAAGTCAAATACCTGATTGAATGACATCAAAATGTTGTGTCAAAAAATTCAATACTTGTTCATAAGTGAAAGTACGGGATTGTCTATCATTATTACTGGTAACCCATTTGGTTTTAGTCCACTTAACTTCAGCCTCACCTTTAAGTCTAAGTTTGACATAATTTAAGTCTAACTGACCATTGAATTCAATAATACAAACACCACTTATTTGTTCTCCATTACGATAAACAAACTTATTTCCCGTTAATTGAATAGCAAACTCTTGTAATTTAATTTTACCCATAGATTAAATTGTATTTTAATAAATAGGTAAATAATTTTCACATCAATAAAAACATTTAATATTTTGAAAACACAACTTTACTATTATTAAATGTTTTGAAAAGTGTAAAACATATTCAAAAACTACTTTAAAAGAAGTTTTTGCAGTGCTTTTTTGTAATGATAAAAATTTAAACATTTAGGGGTAGGAATAGGGATACTAATAAAGACCTCCAAATATAATAAGTTGTTTGTTGTTTAGACCAATAGTACGCTCTCTTAAATTACTTATTATTTTAACTTAATTATCTATGAAAGCTTAATATGTTTATAATACAATGTCATTACATATAATTATTGTATAAATAAAAATTAACAAATCTATTTAATAATATTTAAAAATAACAATACAAAAATTTTTACTAATTAAAATATTTTTAGCTTTATATAGCTGTATGTGTAAGATATAATTATAATATACCAAATATTTTATAATATTATTATAACATTATATAGTTTATTATAAAATAATTAATTCAAAATAATTAATACAAGATTTATTTTTAAAAATTATTATGTTCACACATTAAACAATTATACTGATTATTAAGATATTAAGATTTGTCTCTAAATTATTAAATTATATAAAAGAATTTATTGCTTTATATAAAAAATAAAAATAAGGAAAAATAATAACTAAATTATATCAAAACAACTATTTAATAATTCCTTATAACAAAAAACATGATTTTACATTTATGTATATTAAAAATAAATATAATATCTATTATGAGAATTAAATTTAATAAATGAATAACTTAATTGATAAAATAAACAGATGATACAACAATATAATTATATGTTATATAAATTTTATGGTATTTATTAGATAATCAATGATAATAATTATTTATTTTGCAATAATCTTTTATAATGAAATAAGCATAGAATAATTTAAATTTTTTTATATCTATTAAAAAAACTTTTAAATTAACATAATAAAAATTACTATATATATATATAAATTTATCATAAATGAAAAAACAATTATAATATGAATATGTTTAAATCATTTTTATTTTATTATAATATATATTAAATTATAAATAGTATAATATTTAAATATATATATAGTTAATTAAATATATAAATTGTGCTAGTTGTGTTTTATCATAATAATCTAATGATAAATTAATTGAGCTAAAATATTACTTTAGTAAATTATTTTAATTTTTATGGTAATTTTTAAATAAATGCTACATATTTTTATAAATAGATCTTAAGATAATTAATATTAAATATATATTTCAAATATATATAATATAAATAAAAATAAGTAATTCAATGTAATATTAATTCTTGTAAATATTAGCTATTATAAAGTAAAATGAAATTAAATTATTAAACAGTAGTAATTTAAGTAGAATACCAGTATTTGATAGATTTTAGTATAATAGTAGTTTAAAATTACATTATTTTAAAAGTTAATAGTTAAGACATACAAATTAATATTTTAATTTCAATAATATTATAGTATATTAATTTGTTATTTTAATAAATTAAAATTTACGTATATTATTTTCTGTTAAATTAAATTTATAAATGTTTTGAATTATTAAAAATCTTATTATTTTTACTAAAAAGAAGTATTAAACAAGTTGTTTGGCAAAAATAGATAAATGTATAGTTAAGAAATTGTTTGCATATTAAAACAGAAATAGTAAAGTGATATTAGAATGATTTCTGTGTTTTTAAATATAATTATCGTATAAATAATTAATATTATTTTATATAACGTATCTCTATTCTCGAAATAAATATAATATATCTCTTTTAAAGTTAATTTCTAAAAAGGCCAAAATATGATTAATTGTAAATTACAATTTGTTATTAATACTGTTAATTATTAGATTTAATTGTAATTCATCATTATATTTGAGTTTTTTAAAATTTAATAGTCAAGTAAAACATCAAAATATTAATTAAAACCTAAGTTAATGCATATTTATTAGTGATCACAATCGGCAGATTTAAATGTAAATCAATAGTATAGGGAATGTCAAGAGTCAAGTGAATGAAGTATTTCACTGTAATTAACGATGATTTCATTGTTAATATTGTTTTTTCCGGTATTTTAATTTTAAGAATCTCTTGTTGTTTATGTCCCGCATTGATAACTGAACCCAGAATTGGTTCCGATAGTTGTATTTCAATAGTTTTATGTTTGTCTCCAGTCATGAAAATCTGGGTTTGATATAGTGTTGCTCTGGGAGTCACACTAACTGTAGACAAGTTGTCAATAAAACAATGAATATCTAATGATTCACCTGAAAAATAATAATAAATAGTTTATAATATACAGAATAAATGATTATCAGTATTAAATATAAATCAATTTATAATATTATGTATTTCAATCAATACAGAAATTATTTTTCTTATTAAAACATCGTTTATTTGCATTATGACTATAAATCAATTAAGTTATTTTTATTAATTTTGTTAATTTAATAATATTACTAATTTTTAATAATAAATTCAAAATAATAATTATTAAAATAAGTCAAACTAGATATGAGATAATAATAACTAATAATAAAATAAATTGTAATTATATCGATATTTAATAATATAAAACTCAAAAAATATTGAATAATCGTATAACTATTATACGATAGAATACTAATGTCAATAACTTTTTTGAGTTTTATATTATTAAATATCGATATAATTACAATTTACTGTAAATCACATACAAAATATTCTACAAATTCTATATAATTCAATGTTATTAGTTTATTGAATGACAATTGTAATAATATGTGATTCAAATATAGAGAAATATTTATGAAATGTAACATTTGATTACAATAAAACAATTAATTGATTTTTATGTCATTCAAGTGTTAAAAAATATCAAATAATATTTAAACGTTATTTTAAATAGAAAAAAATTAAAAAGAACAAAAAATATTGAAAGATATCATAAATATATCACATATATTGAGATATTTTTTTATCAAATAAGAGTTTTAAAAATTATTTATAAATAATAATATTTTTGGTGTTTAATTGCTCTTAAAACTGGAATAATATTTTAATTATAATTATGGTTTTTTTCAAAAATACAATTTTGAATTTGTATAATTTCAATTTATAATATGTAAGCATCGTTTAGCTTAGAAAACAAGTACATTATAGTCGCACCGTTTAATTTCTAAGATATCATTTCTGACTTAGAAATTAAACGGTGCGACTATAATGTATTTGTTGTCGTCCGACAATCAGCTAACTGTGCGATCAATCTAATGGTCACTCATAACATAACTAACTTTAACCTACTATACGACTAAATTGTTTGTCGACCGATTCAACACTAAATTAATAATACAAAAAGTATCCACTTTTATACAAAAATATTATCCAATATATAATCTAATATTATTATGTATATACAAAAATAGGACCCAAAATTTAGAACATTTAATATTTTTAGTTTATTTTGCTTAATTTACTTACATAATTAAAATTCATATTACAAATAATATAAACTACTAATTTATGGAAATGTTAATGTAATTTAGATATAAATAATTTTAAATCATATAATTTAAACCTAATTTGTTTGGATTATATAAAAAAATCCATTTAATATAAGTTTATTAACAATTAAAGACTAATAAAATAAAAATCAAATACCTGCCAAAAAACCTTTTTTATTGATGTGAGTGGACAGTGATATTTTCCCGGAGCCCAAACACAATATACCCAAATCCTTTTCAGTACTTCCGCCTACAGATAACTAAATTTAAATAAAATATATTTTTAAATTCTTTAAAATATTTAACTTAATATTTTGTTTGGTTATTATAATTAACTCGACTATAATCTCTTGATTTGTGGCTTACATATAGGTTATCCTTAACGGGCGCCTCCACTATAATTTCACAGCCAGACCTATGAGATCTGTCTGATTCTCCGATTATGTATTCAATGAAATAACAAATACATCCATAAATACTCTCAAAAGACGACGGAATCCCACTTTTATAAAATATTTTGATTAGTTATATGATATACATAAATGTTAATAATATTTATAATTATAATAAAAATACTGCAAATTATCATTTTGTTAAAAATCTTCTTTCGTATTATTATCATTTGTTAATAGTAATTATATAAAGTATGTTAATGTTATATGTTTTTTACAGTATTACGAGATTTTTATATTTAATTTTAAAATTTATTATTTATAAATAATATATAAAAATGATATATACATTTGATTTTTTTGTAGTAATATAAATTAAGTAGCATTGTAATATTTATAAGTACTGAATTAATTTTAAGCTATTAGTTTAATTAGTTTTACTTTTAAAACTTAATATGAATTTTAATTAAAATAAATATAAACGTAATATTAAACAAATTTTGTTATTTTGTTGTTTACTTTCGTTTATGTTTGAGTTACAAATAGTTAATATTCTATTAATTTTTATTATAGAGTAATTTTTCTATAAATTCATATTTCAAATAATTTTTGATAAACATATTAAGCAAAACTTATTAAAATTGAGATTTGATAGTTCAATATAATATTAAAATTATCAAATATTTTATTTTCCTATTAATTATATGTTGTATTGATTCAGCATTTGCGTGACTCGTATTTAAATCAAATCATTTTTATTCAGACTATGATATTTCAATGTCACACGCAATGTAATGGTAACATACAGTAACTTTTATATACAGTATTATATTTATATTATTTTTATTACATAATACAATATTTTATAATACAAGAGGTTTAAACAATTTATCTATTTATCATTTAATTTATGGGTCAAAATAAAATTATATACTGCTTTTTTATTATTATAGAGATATTTTGGTTTTAAAATATTCATTAAAATTAATAATTTATTATAATTTTAAATGATGTTATTAATTATTATTTAAACCACTTTCCAATTTCAGGTTCTAATTAATTGGAATTTTTATTCAAAAATGTCAAAATAATTTATCTATTGATTTGATGGTAATTTGTGACATAAGTACTGTATTATTATTGTGAAAATAAAACTAAAATTTCACTAATATTTTTTAATTTAATGATTTAGTTTAATGAACACAATTGATTCATAAGTTTGTATGAGATATTAAATGTTAAATTTATATTTTTATTTAGACGATTGCTAAGAACATTACAATATTTAGGTGTTTCCAAGAAAATGTCAAACAATAAAATAATATTACATTAAATTTCAAATGTCAGTGTAATCTTCAATTTATTTAATTCATGTAAATCCACTCATGTGACACTCATTTAAGATACAGTAATACACTGGTTATAATTTAATATTACTTTTGTAGATAAACCATTTATATAACTAATACTGTATTATATAAGAGCAGAAAAATAAACAGCAAATAAAATAACTCAAATACTTGTAGACTAAAGTAGTAAAATATTTATAAAAATAATGGATTTCCAAATAATTAATTAAAAATACATTTATATAAATAGGTAAATACAGTTAGATAAGAATTTAATTGATGAACATGGTCATACATTAATTAAATTTAATTAAGCATCATAAATAAATTGTATCATACTAAATCTATTTAATATTATTTAATATTTATACTAAGTCTAACTAAAAATAAATTTTTATTGTTATAAGTTTAACATAAGTTTAACTTAGTTTATATTTGTAACTTTATATTTGTATTTATTTATAAATTATAATACATTAATTTACTTATGTCATGAAAAATTGACATAATTTCTATTGTTAACTATTTTCTATTTTTCATTATATTCTATTATGCTAAAATATAGTATAAATTATTAATAATATTATATGCATTTATTTTGTCATAAAATTAATACTTTATTTTTATAAAATAATTAAATTTTTTAATATAATATACTGTAATTTAATAACTTAATTGTAATATATAATTATGTATTTTAAATTAATCGAAATGTTAATAATTATTACTATATTTTTCGAATATATTAATAGTTATAAAATAGTGTATATGTACTGTACATAAATTTATAAGTAAATTACATGAATACTGTGTATTACTAAAATGCAAAATCATTGATTTGTTTTACTTAATTTGAGAGAAAAAGAAAGAAAGAGAGAGAAAATTTTATTAAAAAACATTGATATAAATAAAACTTAATATGATATTAACACTATAGTATAGACTAAATGATTAATTTTATATAACTACTGTTTTACGTAACTATAGTCGATATTAACACCTTTGTGCTAATAATATTTGCTTAAAAGATTAATAATAAGATAACACACAATTAAACTGTATCTTAATATATTAATTCAAATATTATATCAAATATCAATTTTGTACATACTGTACATATTGTAACATGTACATTTTCTATTTATTGTATTTTTATTCAATGTTATATTTAATATAAGTAATTACTAAAAAGTTCATTGGTAATCGCTTAATACATATTTATGTTATATTATATTATATTAATATTGTATAAAAACTATAGTATATTTTATAGAAAATTTTATTTTTATAATCTTATATTTATTACATAATTCAATTTAAAATGTATTTAGAAAATTTTAGAATTTAAAACTAATTATTGTTTTTAAATATTAAGTAATTAGTAATATTTGATAACGTATTAGATATAAAATAGTCTAAAGAAAACATTATTAACATAGGGTTTCCAACTATTATTTTGAAATTATATTTTAAAAATTACTAATTTTATAGTTTTTTTTATTAACCTAATGTTAGTAACGCTTAATAAATAAAAAATAATAATTATTTAATTAAACGTAACATTATTTATAATCACTTAAGTCTTTATAGCAATTTAGTCATTTTTGTTGATATATTATTACACTCATTAAATGATATTAAATACACTCATAATATAATAATCAATAAAATAATTAGTTATAATAAAAACAATAATATTATAACAATACCTTTCTGGGAGTTGAAATTTAAAGGGTATTTCATGATTTCCCGGTTGTAAAGTTGTTGCACAAACTGAAAATAACAAATTATTGAAATATTATATTTAAAACACTAATTTTAACTAATAAAAAATTTAATATTTTATTCATAAATAATAATTATTATTGACTGGTTATTATCTCTCAATCAAATAATTCAATATCTAAAATAATTATATTTTTCTGATTTTGAACACTTATATTTTTATTATTAATCATAAAAATATCTAAAAATATAATGATTTTTAAAATGTGATTTTTTAAACTTTATTTTCTATATTATTGATTATTTATAATGATTTGCTCAAAAAATTTCATAAAAACATTTCATATACTATTAATGATTTAAATTAAATTTCATTATATTTAAAATGAAAAGTTCTAGAAAACTAATACTAATTTAAGTAATGGTTTATTTAATTTTTGACTTATAGTAATAGTTTTACTAACATAAATGTAAATAATTTACTCAATTTTTCAATATTTGATTTATTTTTATAATATATAATTAATAACTTAACATTTGAATTGAATTATTAATAAAATATAGTTACTTTGCTCCGGTAGTTCATAGGTATGATCGAGAAATACATGTTTATACAGATTCTTATCCATACATACTTTGCCCTCCTTTTGATACATAGAGTTGTCGACCGGTTTGATGGTAGCAACACATGTGAGTCTTAGTTTGACTCGTGATAGTGATAGTCGACCGTTGAGTGATATGATTAGTTTGCCGTGAATATAGTCACCCATTTGGTACATAACTTTGTTTCCCACTAACATTATCTCTGCATTTCTCAAATGAATATCATTAGACATTTTTATATATTAATAATAATAATAATAATATTGTTATTAATATTAGTTTTTTCTTATTAAATAAAAAGATTTAAAAACTTTGGTATAAATATTGATGCAAAACATATGAGAGCTGTTGACTATTTTAATGAAACATTGGACACAACATCTATGGATACAAAGTTTTTTACAAAACAAGTCATCTCTTGTATTGTGAGCCCTGTTTTCATTGGATGTCTCGACATATCTATAGAAACATACTTTCACTAAATTAAATCATCGATCGATATTTAATACATAACCGCATTATATTACGAAATGCTTTATATTTTGTATCTTCAATGAAATACCATATTCTACAACATTATATAAATAATATAAAACAATAATAAATGTTTTAATATTATACAAATAGTTTTATATTTATTAAATCGACTTTTGTACTAATTTTGCACATTTCGAGGAAATAAAATATATTACAATTAAAATCCTATAAATAATAGAATATTTTTTATATAATAAAATGCATAGACTATAATAATGACAATATATAAACACAAAAATTTAAAGAATAAATAAAAATATTTTTAATTTAATGTATTTAAATAGTTAGTAAATATTAAAATACTACAAAAATAATTAATTTCTAAAAATAATAGATTTCTGAACAATCGATTAGGTCATAGATTAAAAAATCTTTTATCTACTAATCACTCACACAATAGATAAGGATTTAAAATACATAAAAAAGAGTATATGCTTCAAAAAATGTCAGTTTTATTATTGCTTTTATTGAGTATATGTCTTATATTTGATAAGTTAAGACATCCATAATATTATAACAATAAATATTGTATCGTTAAATATTTACAGATTTTCATCAATCAATTAATTTGATAGTTTATTTGAGTTTAGTTAGTTTTTTTTCCATAAAATACTTTAAAATACATGTTATACATAGTAATACAGTATTGTACAATCAGTAACTACTGTATGTTAATATTAGTAATACTGATATTTATTATGTGTTATTCCTTTATTGAACATACTTTACAGTATGTCATAATTATGTCAAAAAATGATAAAACTAATTGAAGTTTAATTGTTTGGTCACTATTATACTTAACTGGACAAAACATTTGCAAACTAACATAATAGGCAAATATTATTAGACAACCATAGTATAGAAATGCACTAAAATGAACTATTAGTATATTCGAAAATTACATAATATCAAGGTATTCATATACAATAGCTGTCTAATAAAGTTTGCCTTTTACTGTATATAAATAATAAAAATTAAATTTTATGTAAATAGTTTTTTTTTTGGTTATAACATATTGAGTTATAGATTTGATCTATGTACTATTTGTGCTATAGAATCATGAAAGAGGTATAATATAATATTGATATAACAAAATTTTACAAATTACGGCTCCGGGATGTAGGGTCAGGGATTTTCCATATCTAAAAAACTATAGGTGATATATTGTACTATCAATAGATACAAATTAATCATGTTTCGGAAATTTTCTCAAAAATGTTTCAATTATAATGCTTTAATATTTTAATGGTATTAATTAAATTGTATTCTATATTCTTTGATTAAAAATTATTAAATTAATACAATAATTAAGTAATTTGTTTAGTTTTTAAGATATTTTAATTATGATCTTTATAATTATTTTTTATATAATAGGTAAAATATTAATCTTATTATTATTTATTATTATTATCTTATCTTATTATTAATCTTAATTAAAAAATGTAGCAAGATATTAATTATTTTTTAACTTATATTATATTGTTATATTAACATGTTAATGCTATAAATATAAAGTTAAGAGACCATTAAAGTTGTAAATTTTTGTATATTAATCATATAACATTTTTTATTGTAATTATTAAAAATAATATTTTATTAGTTAATCCAGTTATATAAATAATAAATATTATTATTGATTATATATTTTGTTATTACAATTTTGAGTGCGATTTAGTCATAAGATTGCTGTTAAACTTTAACATAAAGTTTTATGCTAAATAAATAAAATTATTTATCATTTATGTATTTAATAGTTATAACATTAATATATGTTTTATTATTTATATATTAGTTAGAATTAACATTTCTATAACTAATGTTTTATACAGTATAACAATAACTTAGTGATGAAATCAGTGCTATTCTTATATAAAACCTAATCAAATGTTAACATAAAACATATCGGTTTTGTATGCATTGCTGTCTGTAGACAATGAACTGGACTTTTGTAAAGCACTTGATTTGGTGATAATAACGGGTAGATCGACGTGTAAATTGAGTGAAGACGGTATCTCAAGTGTCACGTGTAGCTCATAGCTTACCATAAGTATAGGACAGTCAATTGATAACTGAATATTAGCCGGAATGGGTACCTGTTTTCAAATCAAATAAACTAATTAAAGTTAATTTTTTTACTTAATGTATAAATAATAAATATCATTACAAATAGACAATTATTTGGTAATTTTATAGTTACAACTGACCCCTAACTAATTTTATCTATTATATTTATTAATGTGAATAATAATTTAAACAAAATAATCTAATTGTAATAATAAATGTTTTAACTTTTTTTTATATCTGATTGTGTATTGATTTGATCTTATTATCAAATGGTGAGCACAAATAAAATTAATTAAAACATTATTCCCTCAAATCATCAACTTTATAGATATTTTTTGTAATTAATTAATTTTCTAAGATTTTAAATATTGGTATCATTAAAAAATCTTTTATAATTGTGTATCAATTAATAGATATTTCTTATTAAACATTGTAATTATAGTTTTTGAAGTCAATTGCATTCACTTTTCAGTAATCCCGTAAGTTCGGGAAATGATGTAAATTAACTGATTTGCTGTCAGAACTGGATGTCATTTATATATAATTAATTGGATGTTTAAATACCTACTCATCTATATGTTTATATATATAATCCCAATCCTATTACAAATATACTGCATCTACGGTTCCCAACTGTTTTTCTAGTAATTAAAAAAATTATAAACATCATTACCTCAAGTGTTTCAACGTTTGTAAGACCGGAGTCAACTTGTGATCCATCGATACGTAAAAACTTAGTTTCTTTTATTTTATGTTTTTTCTTTGCTATAAATGTTTGCGTTTGTTTTAACGTTGCTCTCGGATGTACTTTTACTGATGATTTATTAACAACATTACACTTAACATCTATGAATTGTCCTGAAATCTCACCAAAAATCAATTTAATTTATGTTTTATTAACTTAAAAAATGATAGCATTATAAATTATCAATTACCCTGACAATACCCTTGTCTATCAATAGTCACATCTATACTAACATCGCCTGAATTGGACCACAAAAACCCAATTTTCTTTTCATTGTTTCCATTAATTGGATACTAAGTTTTGTTTAAGAAAAGTTAAATTTAAATTTATTATTTTATTAGAAAATATAACAAACCATAAGATTATGGTAAACAAGAGGTGCCTCGACCTCAAAGTCTGTTCTTGTCTTATGATTGAATGAAAACAAAGGTTTCTCTATTTCTGCTTCAATCCAGTACTTAACAGAGCCGTGATGTTCATCAAAACTCGATGGTATACCTCTTAATTCAATTCAAATAAAATCATATAAATTATTAATAATAAATTATTGTAAGTATTCAATTATTCATTTTTTCATATAAATTACTAATATTAATACTCTTTAGGCAATTGATACGAAAATGGAAACTCATGTATGCCTTTAGTTATAATGCCATCAAATGCTAAATACATAATAAAGTAAAGCAATATATTTTGAATTATAAATATAATAGAAATGCAATAATAATGAAATGCGTGTATATTTACTATTGCGGACAAAATCATAGCTCCAGTTTAGGTATTGTAAGGAATCATGAAATGTACGGTTCCTCCGATGATTACTCGAACCCATATCTTCACTCCATTTGACTTTAACTAATCCTATCAATTGCATCCTTATCTGTACATAAAAATGCAATTATTGTTTATTCAAACAAATATTATTTCTCTTATTTTTGCAAACAATAAACTATTTCTAATGTAATTTTCTTGTCATACAAACCCTAGACAACTGTAGTTCCCCTTCCAAAGCAATCACACATTTTCCTGCAATTGTTTCCCCCAACTCATAGATCCTTTTATTTGAGTCCAACATAATCTCAAAACGTCTTAATTGAATTTTACCCATATTTTGCTGGTCATCAATATATTAATTAATATTATAACAAAATTAGTTTATAAATTCTATTAACTTATAGAGAATTGAAAAATCAATTGTTATCCTATCTATAAAAAAAGTAAATTGAATGATAATGACAATCAAATTTTCTATATTTTTTATATACAAAACATGTTGCTATAGTTGTTAACACTATTACATGTTTCTATAAAACATTATTGACAAACAAGAGAACCTAAATAAAACTTTTGATAATATTGATTGACTCGTGTTGTGTAATGTATTGCTTTTGACTCGTATTTATGCAAAATACAAATGTTTCATTAATACATCTATAGTGAAAAATCTATAATTTAATCCATGGCAACACTTTATAATAAATTTCAATATCAATGTCAAGGTTTAGCATATATCACAAAATTATTAGAAATCTTTGTAAAAACTGTGTGAAATTTCAGATGAAATTATATTTGCAATATATGAAGATTTCATAGTAAATAATATATCAATAAAATTTGGCAATAAATCGAGATCTCATAAATAAATGAAATTTTTATTAAAGTTCATTACTAAGAAAGTTTCCAAAAAAGTTTCTTATGCTTTATTATAAATTTCTATTTGCAATATATATGAGACTGTGATACTAAAGAAATAAATAAAATATTTTGTTATTTATATAATATAGATAATACATTAATTTAAGCAAACTATTGTTGATATTATATTTGTAAATAATTGTTTTACAATTAGACAAAATTATTGTTTATCAATTTTTATAATTTTGCTACACTTATTTATGTATTACATTTGTCATAATTTTGTTTTACTTAACGTTTAACAATTAAAATTGAGTGATATTAAATATCAATTAAAAATTATTATTAAATTTAAAACAATGATATAATCTTTAATTTAATAATTTATAAAAACAAACACAAATTATATAAAATAATAAATAAAATATTTTAAAGATTTCCTAATATATGTATACATTTGAAGAATGGTATTCTTGAAATGTATATCTGTTTGAATACGACATTAATACTCGAGTTTGTGTCCAATAAGAGTTTGCCAAACACTTTGATGCCATCTTCTTATGAGATCCATAAGCTTCCTCTCGTCAAGAAACAAATGTTGGTGTGTCGGGCAACGGGATATACCCAACCCTCCTCTATAGTCTGTATGACATTCAATGTATGGAAATGGTGTCTTATATTCCAATCAATTTGCATGCAATTTGGATTACCAATAATTTTACTATAATTTAAGTTATTTGTAGAATTGATTTGCGATTCACATAAAGATTGCCATAAATTTGATAAAAACCGTATTTGCAATGAACTTTGTATTTGTAATTAACAATATTTTGCTAACACATTGTCAGACAAATGTCACAAAATTAATTTCACTAACAATTTAAAGCAAATATGATTACAAATAAATGTTTATTGTATTATTATAAAAATATTAAATTAAATTAAATAATATCTGTAATATATTATGTTTTGCCTTTCGATCGGACCTTATAATTAAGATCTCAAGCCTTCTTGAGATAACAACTTTAAGCTTTAAATATTTAACAAAAATACTTAAATAGTCTTATATAAAAACATGATTGTATAGTATACCAGCAATTTACGGAATACCACAACAATATTATTATTATATAATATAATATTGGATAACAGAAATTCTTATAATTTATTTTATTTAATTAATATAATACATACCCAAATATTGCAATTATAACTAATAAATATTAATAATATCATATGTAAATTAATCTAAATATTATTATAAATATATAATACAGTATAAATATTTAGATTTAGTGGCGCTTAATTACTGTATTAATTAATTAAGATTAGCATAAAATTGATTGTTGCACTCATGGCATATATAAAGTATTTTTACTAAAATATTATAAAGAATAACAAATATAAAATAAAATTATTACATTTTATATTATAATTAAAATTAATAATTACATACTATGTTTTATTGAAACATTAATAATAATTATTCATTGTGTTTGTAGGCTTTGATTTTTATAAATTGTTTTTACAAAAAATATTTGTCAATTATGTAATATAATATAAGAATATATTATTTGTATATATATAAGAAAATTTATATAAAATTTATTCGTCAATTTGAGTAAATATTTATAAAATTGTTTATTATTTAAAATGACTTATCGTATAAAATTTCTTTTTTTAGAGCAAAACAACATTAATGTCAATGCAATCAAAACTAATTGGATTAAAGCGGCGATTAAACACAACAAACCAATTATACCACTTCTTAATTCAAGAAATTCACGTAAAGCAAGAGCACAACCCTATCAATAATATAACAATTTAATTGATTTTTCTATTTATTTAAATTTAATACCTTTTGATTGAGAAATTGAGTTCCTGTCAAATAACATGAGGTTGGGATTGACATACCATACCTTTGATAGTCATTCAAAGATACAACACCACAACATCTTAGCTAAAAATAATATTAAACAAATAAATTATACAAATGTAATACATATTAGAAACAATTATTTTATATAAAATTTAATAAGCATTAGAAAATTATGTAATTTATATTAATTCAACAAAATAATGAATTTCCCGTAAAATTATGCCAAATATTTTATTTGTTAGTTTTATAAAGATTGTGTACTGTATATACTGTAAATACTCTACTCTATTATAATTTATGGGTTATTGAACATTACTAGTGAAAAATTTTCATACATAATACTACTCTATATTATTGTTTGTGAACAATCAACTTATATTATGTAGAAATTGTTAATTTCATTTAATTTATGTATAGAATGAGGAAATGTATCAATCAATTGAAATAATGCCTATTCATAGTTAGTGACAATTTTCAATTTATGTCATTACTTAATCAGTGATGCATAAACTTATAAAAATAATTAATGATCACTCATTTTGATTTAACAAAAATTAATAAAAGCACATTTTTTGAAGTTATATACAATTTTCAAATATAAGTACAATATAACGATTTTAAAATATTTTTCTATATATATTTTTTATTATAAATATTGTTTCTTCACTAAAATATTTTGTTTGATCAATTGATACTATAATAAGTATAATATTAAATGAAAATATAAAAGTTTTAGAGTATTTTATATTTTTGACTTGTAATATTAGTTCACATATTAATACTTTTTTACAATAGTCTACAATACATTATAATACTAATTACATGTAGTTATTACTATTAGTACAATACAGACTAACAGTATAATGTAATAATAAGATAAAATATCATTAAATTAATAATAATATAAGTATAAAAATTAATACAATCGAAATTTAAGTATAATAAATTGTTAATATAAACTTCAATAATATAACACTTTTAAATTGGTAGTTATTAATAAATGAATGTAATTATTAATTTAAATAACTACATTTATCATAATTATATTGTCAAATTTAAACTTATTTGATAACTTGAAATCTAAACAAGATAATTAATTACTACTGTATATTCATCTAACAAATTAATTGATTTCAAATATCAATATTTTGATATAATTTTCAAATTGAAAATCAAGTAATACTTAAAAATAATGAAATAACAAATAATACCTTGACTTGAAAGAAGTCAATGAAACCTCTGGCTCTATCATCATAAGGATATTGTTGTAATTCAGCGATCAGTTCCCTGAATGCAAAGTTGTAGAGCTTTTCAAACAGATAATTGATATATAAATTTATGTTAGCTATAGATTAAACAATAGTTTCAAACAATATACTTGTTCTCCAAATCCATGAAATATACCCAAAGTAATTGTGGCCACTTGTAAACCAAATAGTATTAATAGTACGATACCATACTATATCATAATTAGAGCATAAATAATATGTTTTTATATAATATTGTCAAACATTACAATTGTTAACAAAAATGATTGTTCAGTGAAAGCGGCGGCACATCCGAGTAGTCCGAGAAACATAATGATACCGCCGACCACTATCATTATGTAAGCAGCAGTTACTATATTGTATGTATCGATGAACCTACTGGGCTCATATGACTTGGGATCAACTATCAACCAAATACCTATTCCAACTAATACCCATCCAATCAACTGTTTTATAATACAAACAAAATATTATTAATAAACAAATTTCTTAAGTTATATAAATTATAACAAAAACAATACAAACCCAGAGAATAAAATTAAAGAAAAACAATAAAATTTTGGTCACTTTGGCCATCCTTTTGGCCAAACAGACCGATACTGTACTACAACAACGACAGATAAAGACGCGCTCCACCACTCTGTGCTTCACTTGTCCCTCACTATCATAATTATCATCAATGATGACTGGTTTGTGTCCATTTGACTGCTTGTCATCACTTTCATCAATATCTTGAGTCTGTGCCAGTTTGCCACACAATCACTAAATACTTAATATTTACTTCAAATCACTTTTCAAATAAAAATAGCTTTGTTTGGTCACCAATTCTTTCAATAATACAACTCAAACTGTTTTAAACAATAAGTTTTAAATAATAATAACCACTTTTAGTTTATTTGTTGATATTATTGTTGTTTAGCGATGACTTTGCAAACTTTCTGTTAAAGTACAATGAATTTTAACAAATAAAGCAAATTGTTTGAAACAAATATAAGTTATTAATATTTCCTAATATATTGTTATTCATGATTATTGGTTTTACACATACTGTTGACATAGTTTCACAATTAAATGAGAATCATATTTCATATACTGTTTTATTTTTTATCAGAGATTATTTGATATTATAGTCTATAATATAGACCACAAAATGTAATCGGATGCTAATAAACACAAATGATGAAATATATAGTTAAAGTTATAATCAAAGTGATCATGGTCAAAATTTCAAAATTCAAATAATTTTTGACATATTATTCGCAATCAATGTGTATATCTGGGGTCTGACTACAGCAGCATTTTATATAAAAAATAAATGAAAAATGTTATTGTTTATAAACTCATTTTACAAATATAATAATTTTTAAATGTTCATTATTAGACTAAAGTATAAAGTATAAATAAAATTTGGCAAAAATTCAAAAAAAAATAATAATTTTCTAAATACATTACAAATAAATTATGATTTTAAATAGCATTAAGCTTGTATATAATTTAATATCAATTTTAAGTTTTAATAAAGTTGTGATATTACAGTAAAAATACTATTTATATAAATATATTTTTATTATATAATTGTTATTCTATATTATAGAAGATATATGTTTGTTATATGTTATTTATTATGAAAATGTTGTTATATTTTCAATACTGTATAGAATTGATGATACATTACATGATTTTATTTAAATAACAATACAAAAATGATTTATTATATTAATATATTAGTAATGTCTTGATTTCCAACTAAAATAATTATTTTGTCGTTTTAACGCTTATAACTGAGACGCTTATGTATACCGAACATAACAAGTGGACGCTATTACCGAAATTTTACTATAATTATTAACATCTATTGGTTAGCAAATATAAAAACTTATAAATAACTATTTCAATGATTTTGAAAAATATAAATATTAAACTGTTAAATATTTCACAAATATTTGAAAAAATACAAAATAATTTTTAAAAATTCTTAATTAAAAAATATTTTAATTGATAAACGCTTAATATTTGAAAAAATAATTAAAAATAATATTTTATCCTCCAATCTAATCAAAATTAATGTAATTATTTTCAAATATTTAAAAAATAAATAACTATTTCAATAACTATTGATATTTGATTTTTTAAGCAACTATTATAACAACTATTTGATAAAGTTTAAATAATTATTAATCAATTCATTATATATTACTAATAACATTTGAAAATATTAATTTATATTATAACTTATATAATTATAAATTAATTAAATGGTTAATCAGTTGATACGGTGAATAATTGAGCGTAAATTAAGTATTAACGATAAAAACATTTAGTTATATATTTTAGGATACTTTATTTATAAATAAATATTAGATACAGAATAATAAATAAAATAACAAAAAAGTATTATAAAATACTAATAAACATAAGTAATAATAAATGTTTTTCTATAAATTGTATAAAACCACTGAATATTTGTTTTCAATGATTTTTATGACTCGAAGTATAGAAATTGCAATGAATGAGATTTTGTAGTATTTATAGTACGGTATAATATATAACATAATAGAGTCAGTGTTGCCAATGTATACTACAGTATGTATTATACAGTATATACTGTAATATACCTCTCGTTTCAATTGAAGTATTCAATGAATCATTTGATATATAATAACATTAAGTAATGCAAAGCAGTCTTTATTGTGGGTAACAGTTGTGGACCTAAAATAACAATTGATTTATCAATTATTAAAAGGCATTCTTCTATTCAATTATTAATATGTAATATTGAGATGAGTTTTAACTCTATGACCCAACTAAAGCACATTTGCATAATAGTCACGAAACTGAAATCAGTTATCAATTTGCAAACCATTGAATATATTTATTCTTTCAAACAATTCAATTGCCTTTTCAAACATTAATCTTATATTATATATAAAAATATTTATGAGACTTATTAGACTCATTATAAGGAAACCCAAGTGTTTAAGCAATAACATTGTAATACTGTACATAAAATTGTGATTTTATTGCATCAAAAACTAAATACAATTATATTATAAATATTTAAATAAACAATGAAAAATCACAATACTATAATAAAATTACACTATTATATAATAAGATTATATTGCAATAATAAAAATGGATAAATATAATATCAAGTTTCAATATTTGCATTAAATAACTAATACTGTAAACATATTGTATTTTATATTACATTTTTCTAGTTTATAAAAATTTGAAATAAATGTAAAATTATAAAAGTTGTTGAATTGACTATTATTTTTGTAATACCTGTCCACACAATTTATATTTAAAACAATTTTAAAAATTATTTTTCTAGATTATAGCTTCAACGGGATATAGATTTGTTATACAATTTTATGCATTTAAAGTTTATTTAATTATAAATATTAAATTTAGATACATTTAGTTTTATTTAATATATATATATAAACCATAGATGGCAATCGTGTACTTACAAAGTTATTATACACTATTACTGTAAGTATAGTAACATTACATAACATTGAAAGAAATACTTTACATATTGTAATAGTGTATACCGTAGTTTAGTTTATAAATAATATAACTTATAATTTTGTTATTAATATAATATAACAAATAAATATTATTAATATTAAGTTATAAGTTATTAATTAATAAAATAAGTTTTAATTTATAATAATAATAGATTTTATTTGAAATAATAAATTATCTTCATTGATATACTTTATAAATTACAATATAATACAATATACTGTATGAATCTTATTATGAATTTACAGCAGATATTAGTAATTCAAATTTCTATATTGTGTTAAATAATATTATAATATAATCAATCAATATTTAGTATCAATAAACTCATTATTATGTTCGACATTATGATTAACTTATAAATATGTTTTATATCAGTATTTAATTAAAGTATGTTTTCTATATTGCAATTGTCTATAGATATTGCAATACTATTATGAAATGAAATAATAACACGAACTCATAAATTAGTATAAATATAATGCAATTTCTTTTTTAGTTATTTAAAATGATAATTAAATATAAAACTATTATTTTAAGTGTCAATTATTAATAATATTATTTTAATTGAAAATGCATCTAAAATCAATCTAAAATGTAAATTCATAATTATGCTAAAAATCATCCGTTTTTTTATAAAAATCAACTAATAAATTGATAATCATATAAATTATATCAAACAATTTCAAAGATTAAATTACTTTAATGAAAAATACAGACAAAAATCACTTTATATAACATAATATATAAATATATACTCATATATTATTGATTTAAGCCTACACTCAAACCCACACATAAGTACTGTATTATACTATACTCTATATTACACTATATTATAAGCATTGCATATCTTTATATTATATTAGTACAGATAGTATACAGTAATATAGTAGCAATTTAACATTAATTGTAATCTACTGTATATTCATATACATAATATTGTATTGTATTTGAACTAAAATGAGGAAACCTTTAATGACTAATATCTTAAACAAGAATTTTATTGTAATATTAAAAATATTATACTTAAATATTTTATATACTTTTTTAAATATATTTAATATTTTGACTAATAAATATTATGGTTTTAATTATAACAATTTATTTATACTGTTAGAGTTTATTATAAATAAAATACTGCTTTAATGAAAATTATTATCAAAAATACATATTATTTATTGAATATTATAATCATTATTGTTTATCTTTCTGATAAATATATATTTTATTATTAATTTATAAAATCTATTCATATATAATACATTTATTGATTAGATAAGAAATAAATGTATAAAATATAGTGAATATTATTTTAATATAGACTTTTTAAAAGTAAATTATAGTTATTAGTTTTAAAAAATTAATTTATTCTAAAAATAAATATCAACTAATTATTTTAAATATATTTTTAAAAATCTAAATAAAAAAGTTAATACATTATAAAATAGTAACCTTTTATAATATAAGCACTTTTTAGTATATTAAAAAAATTAAGAAACACATTTCACTTAAAAGTTAAAAATTTATATAAATAATACAAATTTGTGATTGTTCATTTACCTTTTATGATAAACCAATAATTTTCATATCATTTATTATTATTGCAGTGATTATGCTTTAGTAACATTAACATGATTTCCTGACAGATCGCTTTAAATTTTTTAAATTATTCAATATATAGTGTATATATAAATATGGTTTATAGAGTATATACATAAATATTTTGATACAAAACTTAGTAATAATACAATAATAATAATAATAATAATTTGTAAGGAACTGTTTGCTTAATCAAAGAGTATATAATTGCTTTTTGTTAATTTATTTTGTTTTATTATAGACTTACTTATACGTCAATATAAATTTATATTGCTTGGGGCTATCGCAACAAAAAAATTTAAATATTTTTCAAATAGTTAAATTATTTTATATAATTTAATAATATATAATAATAAAAGCTCATATAAGTCATAATTAGTTGAGTGAAATATTTTAAATATCAGTTTTCATTTAAAAGTTATTGCTTTTTTGAAATTTGCATATAAAAACTGATTTACCTGTAATGATATAACAAAAAATGTTATCATTTATTATAAGCTTAACAATGCACTGATTTTATTTGAGTATAACATAGGCTTTATTTGGTGTCAAAACCTTTAATAGCGTCTGTAAATATAGCTTTGAATAGTTTTAGACAAAGTTTTAAAAATAGATAACTATTTTGTTGATCACGATATTGTGTTCAAATATTTTTTGTGATCATTCAATCATAAAATATATTTACTCATAAAATATAATATATATGTATTTGTTATATTACAACACTCACAGTCAGTACTATTATGTTAAGTATGAGACAAACATGAATATTGTAAGCAATAATAAATATATGAAAGTAATGTATAATCAAAATACACAAAACCTATCGTTTAAATGTCATTTTGAATATTTTAACCAAAATATACAAGAAAATGGAATAAATAGTTATGAGATGACTATTTGATATGTATTTTGGTAACAGCTTTATATGTATTATCCATTTGTTGGTAATTTAATACACAATCAAAATCCCAAATGCATTTGAATTATAATTTTAATGCAATCCATACTCTAAGTGATGGAAAGGCATTACAACTCAGTTGTCGTATTCATTGATGTTTGCATTAGTGATGTCATAGGAGAGGTAAGAGAGGTTACCATTGATTTTGTTTGGCATATATACAGTAGTATATAGTATTGTAGAATTATATACAGTATCTAAATATCTACTTTTCAGTCAAAATTGTATTTTATTTATATGTATTTAACATATACTTTATTTTGTCAAAATTTATAAATTTTTTTCACTAAAAGAAAACTGATTCTCCTGTGATTCAAATATATTAAAGTTTTTATCGATAAAAACAAAATTAAGAGAGAAATCGATTGATAGATTTGATTAAAAGTTAACAATAATTGTAAAGAGAGAGAGAGAGAGTAAAGGTATTAAAATAAACTGAGTATTGTATAGCAATCGGTAAATATTTATTATATTATAGTTGAACTCGAATTTAGTTCATTATATTTGAATAAATTTGTTAAATATTTATTTTCAAGTTGACCTAGTTCAATTAGATGATCATTTTATTTATTATTTTAACACGTGATTATTTTGTTGTTTTTATAAAATCGTTGAATTTATATTGTTTTTGATAAATTAGTAAACTTATTAATATCATTACAAATCATTATAAAAAATATTATAAAACTAGTGTAAAACTGTTTATTAATTAAACATGAAAAATATATTAAATAAATCTTGTTTTTATATTTATTTTAAACCATCATTAAAGTGATACTTGTATTAACCAATTCTAGTTAAATAACTTTATTCAACATAATTTAGACATTTGATTTTATTTAATGAATTATTATTTATTGTGACACAAAAAACTTACAAATTAATTAATTATTTATTTATTTATAAATCAACATGATTTTATAACATTTTAAATTTTAAAATGATATTTATTTCAAAAATTGTTGTATAATTTTTATATTGCATTTATATATTTATTAGAAATTTAAATATATTTCTCCTACCAAATTGGGGATTAACGTAAATAATTAATATTATATAATAATTAATTATATCATTAATATTAACCTATTTATACAATTAAACAAATATGCTATAATATAATGAAAATAAAGCAAACAATTAAAATTGAGCCAATATTTGTAATAATCATATAAATATATTTTATGACAATATGTTTACAGATGTTATAACCATTAAAGGATTAAATTAATTAAATATGATTTCATTAAAAGAGGTAAAGTATTGAATATAATTTAGATAAACAAATAATCAATTTAGGACTTTTTTAATATTATGCTAAATTAATATTAAATTAAGTGTATTTTTAACATTTGATATTTTTAAAAATATGGCACAAATAAATGAGATTTATTTATAGTTCAAATAAAATATATAACATATAGTATAACTACTTCCCAATAATTATAATAATACTAATATACAATATATTGGTAAACTTTTGGTCATTTGATTTTTAGGTAATGTACAAACAAATCAATTGAACTAAACATAACATTTTCACAGTAAATATATACTTGAATATAAAACCTTATAATCTATAAATTCCCAATAATTAAATTCATAATAATATTAATAAGTTTTAATAATATTTTTTAGAAATATATGTTTGGCTTTTTTGAAGAATTCACCAAAAATTTTACTGAAATTATTAATTTTATGTTTTGTGTTATTTTGAAAAATAATTACACATTAATTTTAATAATAATTCTAATATTTCTTAAATGTCATACAAATTGCATCCAAGACTAGACTACAAACTTATTCCGCTATATTTTCCCCCATTTTATGTTTTATAAATAAAATTGTTGTAATTTCATATTTTGTTAAAAATTTCTTGTATTTTCAAAAGTCAAATCAATTCATATTACATATTTTGCCAAAAACTAAATGCATGCGACCTCTGACTAGAGATTTTGTTTGAGATTTTTTAATATATTATTGCAATTCTTATAATAATAATAATAATAATTAAGAGATTTTTCAAATTTTAAAACGTGTTTTACATATATAAAAATTTGTGTCTTTAAATAGTTTTATGAAATAGTAATATCATTTAGACTTTTAGTGTTGTCATAAATGTTTTGATAAATGAGATGAAATATCATATTGTTCATAAATGATCGCAATTATAACAAAAAACAAAATATCCAAAAATATGTTCAAAATTTTGAAACCAATTATTCAAAAAAAACTCCAAAATAGAAAATACATATAATATTAATAATAATAATATAATAATAATAATAATAATATAATAATAATAATAATAATAATATAATAATAATAATATACAATGAGTAGATATAGTGTTAAAGATTTGCTAATAAATAGACAAATTTGTCTGGAACAAATGAATGATAATGTAAAAATGATGGTATATTAATATATATATATATATACTGTATATATATATGATTAATGAATTGATTAATAGAAACAATAGATAACCAATTCCTGATATATAAATTGTACCCTTAATTTGTTAATTAAAATCTTAATTATTAACTATAATATGTATAATAATTAGAAGACATGAAACGAAATAATGAACAAAAAATAACTAATAAAGGATTGCATTTCAATTGATAGTCGAAGAGTCCAACTCTAATGTGTTGTCCAAGTCTTCAGTTTTAGGACTAATCGAATAATCTCTTGGTGTCGACGGCGCGGAAGACTTGTCGTCAATGCTGAAGGAGGACGCGGGTGATCGGCTCTGATAGTCATCATTGCCATCACTACTCGATGGAAACATAGGTAAACCATTCCCTGACGAAGACTCCATTGGATCAAATCCCGATCCGCTCTGAAACCTAATAATTATTATTAAAAAAAGGTTTTCCGGTTTAAAAAAATTATTTAATTTATTCATTATATTTCTTTAGTTTTATAAATAATATATAAATATATTTGCAATCTATAGGGAATAAATCGCTAATAAATGCAAACAAAATGATAATTTTAAAATAAAATATTTAAATTTTGTTTAAAACATTCAAAAACTTATCAAAACATTAATAAAAATTCTTTTGATTGAGAACTAGATTTATGAGATTTTATTTACTTTCTATATTTACTTTTAAAAACTAAACTATAATTTGTCTAATTTTGAGTTGAATTTTTAAAAGTTAATGATAGCGCTCTTCATTAGATTTTTTTGTTATTAATTTTTTGTTTCATTTAGTTTGTTATCTCAAAAATTCTCAGTCATTAAGTAATAAAAATTTGTTTTTAGTAAAAATTAAGTAATTCTCTGTTCTTATAATGTAATATTAGAAGCTCTTTATTAATCTTAAATATTAAATAATATAATAAAAAATTAATAAGTTTTTTAATGGAAAGACATTTAATGATAAACATTAATAATATAAAAGTCTATTATATGAATAAAAAGTTTATTTAACGGTTAATAATCTCTAAATTATAAGAAATAATAAATATCTTAATGAAAATAGCCATCATTTTACTAATACAAAGTTCAAAACCAATTTCCAAACCAAACATTAATAATAAAAATTGAAAACAAACAAAAAAGATAAATTCACTCAAAATTAGTAAAAAAAACTTTTACTTATTTTTATCTATAATAATAATTATCATAAATATAAAAACTAATTGACACTTAAATGTTAGACTTTAGTGAATAATAACTGAATGATTAGCTATTTGTGTCCAAATAATAATTGACTTAATGGACAATCAAAAGAAGTTTTGATATGTTTGTGATTTACCATAAATTTTTCATATCTTGCCTTCTCTGACGCATAAGTTGTTTGTATTCAGAAATCCTTAATTTCTTGCCGTCAACAATACAGGTGCGCTTAGGTCTGGGTCTGTATCTGTAATCTGGATGCTTCTCCATATGAACCTTTGATAGACGTGATTGTTCCTCATAGTAGGGCTGCTTCTCAGTGTTTGTCATTGCCTTCCAACGAGCACCTGTGCATAACATTGACATTATTTATAATTATATAGAAAATATGCCATTTTTATGCCATTTTATTTTTATGTATTCAATTTCTATGCATTGAATCATTATCACAGGTGTCTTCAAAGTTATTTATTATTGATTTATTTTATGAAAAACTCTTCATATTTCTTAAATTAATGTCTTTTTAAAGTATTAGTTAACTTAAGTAAAAACGATAAGCAAAATGAGTGTAATTTTTTATAAAAACAGATCACGAGTTAACTACAAAATAATTCAAACGATAGAAACCTTATGTTTAAATTATTTTAAATCATTATTAAGAAAATAATTTCTTTAGTATATAAAAGTGTTATAAAAATTGTAATAAATAATAAAATAAAAATTTCCTCTAAATTTTAAGGCAATTACATAAAAATCTCATAAAAGAGATTTATATAAATAAGAATTAATTAATAAAACATATATTATATTCATTACAAAACTACTACTACTGGTATTTACCTAAGATTTTAGATATATTCGAGTTATGCATATCAGGACAGGCCTTAAGTATTTTTCTTCGTTCATCTTTAGCCCAAACCATAAAAGCATTCATCGGTCTCTTGACATGAGGTTTGCCGTCTTGGTCTCGCTTTTGCTGACGGATTATCTTTGCGCCCAATATCTTGTCTATTGAGACAAACGATAAGAAAAAGCAATCAAATTATAAAATATGTTGTCAATTGGTTAGGCTTTTGATAAAAAGTTTTAAATTTTGTTAATTTTGTAATTTTATAGTTCATTCAATTAATTCAATTCTCTGTGAAGTATAATCTGAAACAATAAAATATAATATATCTTAGAAACTAAACATTAGAAATTCAGATAACGTTTTCAACATTTATTTATTTCTCCGTTCATTCATTTAATTTGGATTTTAAAACAAAAAATTCGTTAAATAAAAGATTGACAAAAATTTAATGATATATTTAATCTGAAATAAGAATCAAATTTCTAAATGTTTTATGTTTTCATAAGAATTAATGTTTTGCAATCATTTAGCTATCATTGACTGAAAATCTCTCAAAAGTTTTTTAAACCATTCATTGAGTGTATGTTTTTGCCCTCAAGAGTCAAACAGTCACTTACTCTGACACGTGACGATGGTCTCCGTGTTGTCGTTTTGTTGTGATTGTTGTTGAGATTCGCGATGTCTGTCCATTTGTGATCCGATAGCCACTGAAGTCACGGTCGAAGTTGGCGTCAGTTTTGACAAATCGGGTAATAATAGTGATCCAAAAGCATTAAAGTTTGCCTTATCTGAAGACATGGACATTGGGGACATGTCGTGTCCCATATGCGGTGGTCTAAAGCCCATTCCCAATGCGTATTGAGACAACGCGTATTGATGATTAGGTGTCAGACCTGGACTTGCGAAGAATGCTGATGGCGAAGGAGGTTGTGGTAATTGTGGTAATTGTGATAACTGGGATGAGATCATTGTTGGCATTGATTGAGGAGAAGAACCCGGAGAATGGTTTCTATTGAATGAAGGTTTGGATGAGACATAAGTTGTGCAGCCATTGATTCCAGTCATTATCATTGAGGCGTTTGGCGAAAACGATTGCAATGGCGATGAAGAAGTCATGTTTTGTGATAATTTAGTTTTTGAAAGATTGAGCGGTGTTTCCGTACAGCGACTGTTCGTAGAGTTTGAGTTTGTTTTGTCGTTTCTGTCCTCTAATGGACTCGAATTTCTCGAATTTCTCGAATTGTTTGAATTGAATTTGTTTTTCATCGACAGATCTGCCGGAAGACCTGAGGACTCGTGTCGAGTCATTTGTTTGGCCGGTGACGGGCTGTTCATCATTAGCCGATGCGCTGATTGCGACTCCATTTTGAAATTGTTGACAGAATTGGGCGATTTTGTACTGGACATGGATGTCGAAGACGATTGTGAAAGAGCTGATCCAACTGCTCCTGTTTGAACCATTTGGTTGAAGAGATTAGCATCAGTGAATGCATTTCGTGCACCGGGCGCTAGTTTTAAAGATGCGTCCATAAAGGGTGAGAACATGACCTGAGCGGCAGCGGCCGCCTGTGGACCCAAAAAGTTGGGCATTAGTTTAGCCGCTGCTGTCATGTAATGAGCGTTGAGTTGGCCCTAAATGTCATTGATTTCAATGTTATTTAACAATAAATATTGTGTTTTGTGTCACAAATTTGTGCCAATCTTTTGACAACAAATCAAAATTTATTATTCTTTGTTATTAAAGCTATTTTCGAGATTTTTCAGATCATGTAATAATATGGTCCACTCTATGTCGACCTCCCTGAGCTGACTAAGTGATTAGGTTTACAGTTTAAATGGTTGTGTTTTGAATAACTCGGTTGGGGTTCTCAAGTATTTTCAAGTTTAGTGGAAATACTGTTTTCATGTCCTTTAAGTTCATCGATAATGAAAAATACTTTTGTTATAAACCATAAAACATAATACAGTTTTCTATTTATTGTTAAATTTGAAAATATATACTAAACTAGAGTATAAGCGTCTGAAATAACAGTCATCTTAAGCATCAAAGAGGTGCTCAACACAATTACCACCAAATAGGATGTTATTTTGGATCAGTTTTATTAGTCAACTGTTTTTCTTTCGTATCATTTTTTAATTAATTATCAAAAAAAATGTAAAATAAAATTAAATTCAAAATAAGTCCTTTTCTGTGACTAATTTTAAATTCTAATTATTTTTTCTGATTTCCCAGTTATAAATACATTAAATAATTTTTCATGAATTTTTAAAAAATTTACACAAATTTATTTGTTAATTAATTATAAATAAAATGATTAAACACTCGATCTATCCAATGACTAACACAACTACTACACAAAAAGTTGCATTAATAATTTTTTTAGTTATTTATCAAAGTTTATAAAAATAAAATATCATCTCTTAGTTTAATGAATTGCCAATAAAAATGTTTTCCTAATTTTTGAATAATTTTTTATAAGTAAAAATAAATGTCAACAAAAATTTAGAAAAAACAAAATAAAGCAAAACAAGAATTAATTCAGAAAAATGTTTAAATAATTTGTTGTCAATCATATCACCAATCAAACCACCATCACATGTGTAATAAGAACCAACCACTTAAATACCAGTATATAACTGTTAGTCCATCTCTATAATACCTGTCTCTCTCTCTCTCTCTCTCCTCTAACCACTCATTCAATTACAATTGCAATCCACAACTCATTAACTCGTCTTTAAAACTGCAACTTTGAGGAGAATTTGATTTACAACTTTGTCCTTAATTATATGTATATAGAAAAGTCAAAAAAAGTTTTTAATGTGTTTTTACGGAAAAAGAAACACAATTTAAATGATTATCTAATGATTTATATTTTTAGTGATTCTTTACTCAATACTAAAGAGAAATTTAGTTAAAACAAACTCTTTTACTATTTATATGAATAATAGGAAAGAAATTGGAAGAGAATAATAGCTATAAAAGTGTTTGTATTTTTCAAATGCGATTGTGATCTAAAAATAAATGTCATTAAAACTGAATGTCGAGACATAAATAAGAGAAATAAAATGCCATTTATTCACAAGTCTTGAAATTCTTGTTTTCTTAACAATAGATATAGAGTTCAACACAAATATACAAAAAATTTGTGAACAAAACAAAACATTTAAATAAATAAATAGAGAGTTAGTTATGAATGACATTAAAGACTCTTTGGTTATAATAACAGAAATGTGGAGAAAGTTTTTTGTTTGAAAAATGCCGTTTAAATGCATTTTGAATGTATTGTCGACACATTTCTATTGATTGTAATTCTAATTCAAATTTGGTATCAAATCATAGGGTATATGATTAGCACTGTTGACATGATATGACATATTTAGTATGGGATCTGTAAGATAGCATGTGTGGCATACCTGTAGTTCTTGTATTTTGTGTTGTTGTTGTGCCAATTGTTGCTGTTGTCTACCGATTTGTTCCGTTTGGTGTCTTTGCAGTTCACCCGTCAATTGTGAAGAAGGAGACAAGTTTTTTGACTGTTGGTGCTGTTGTTGTTGTTATCATTCAGTCCATGATATGATGCATATGTATGCCATAGAGATAAATAGTAAAATCATGTTTAGTATATTAGATGTTCATTCATATTGACGGCATATTTACAACAGGCAATGGGAGGGGCAGAGGAGTGAGAGACAGACAGACAGAAAGAGGATCAAAGAAAAAGAAAATAACAGTTAAAAAATGTCACTTTTTTGGCACTAAATTTTGATACATAATAATGACATTTACGGCACCAAACAGTGTAGGAAATTAAGTAATAGTCGAGTGTCGAGAAAAAAGAAAACTTTTATAATGTTATTATTATATATTTGAATGCAATATAATGTATATAAGCTTTGGTTAATAATCTTCACAACAATTATATAACTATTTTATTACTCATAATCTTTGACACATTTTGCCCACATTTTTTGTGTCCTTTATTTTACATCCTTTACATTTTAAATAGTTTTTAAGCATTAAAAACAAAACCATAATAAAAAGTTCAATAATTTGTGGACTATTTTTACTTGAAATATGTTAAACACTAGAGTATAGCGTAAGAGTAGTGTAAATCCTAAATCTTCAATGTTATCAATCTCTAAGTGCAAAGATTGTCAATGTTTTTAAAACACATTATTTTCAGTTTAAAATTAGAAACGTTTTTCAATTTCTCTCTCACTGTTTGCTAATAACAGTATTACTATTCCTGGACTTCTCTCTCACAATAAATAATTTATTAGTGTTTTGGAGACAAATAAAAATAAATTATTTGTAACACAAAAGTTATTCAAAACACAAACACATATTTTAACAATTCTTTGAACACTTTCTTTTATAAATTAAAAGCAAAAGAAAAATAGAGAAAAATAATAGTCAAAAGTGACTCTCTATTGGTGCAAAAGTCTCAAACTTTGAGATCTACAATAATAATCATTATTTTAATGCCTTTCCGTGAGAATATACTGATTTAGACTTTGTTTAAAAACACAACACATTTAAGTATATTATTTGAAATGTATGGGCCATTCAAGTGTATGAGTGTCTGACACATTCATTGGTCTGCGACCCATTTAGCACAGTTAGATCAGTTGAACAGTTAGATCAGTTGCACTGTTAGATCAGTTGGCATTAGTTTGGATGAGAATGGAATGCCATTTATGCTCTCTTTGTCTCCATTTCCCAATCATTTGTCTTAAACATTGTTGGCGATGTGTGCAACCGTTGCGTCTCCTATTACAACCATTTAAAGATCTCAATTGCTTACCTCAAGAGAATGTCATGTAATGTAGAAAACAGACAAAATTGACTGCAAATTGTCCAACAATTCAATTATTTGCATAAAAACATTAGACTAAACATATTGACTCAAAAATACTGTTTTAGTAATAAATTTAATCAAAATTTAATTAAAAAGTCTAATAAAATCAAAGTCTAATAAAAAAAGTTTCAAACAGTGAATTTGTATTCTCTTTGAACAAAGAAATTGAGAGAGAATTGAGTCAAACAACAGCTATTTGAAGACATATCTATGAAAATGATAACCTGATGCCAAAGGGGACCACTTTTTAAGTCTAAGACTTTTTCGGAAGCTTTTGTTTTAGTCACCCGAGAGATCCGCTCTGCAGAGCACATCTGCTATCGGAATGCGAAAACTCGCTAACTGTGCGCTCAATGGCTCACCAGCTCAGGGATGAACAGTCTGATTGTTTGTCAGAAAGAGGATTGAGTGAAAAAAGGACTCTTACTGTGAATGCCTGAGCTGTGAACATACTGTTCAACACTACAATAATAACAAGTGTTTCTCAGAATTTCTGGTATTTTTGTTTTAAAATTCAATGCAAACAAAGTATGAACTAAACCGTTAGCTTTTACTTGAGTAACAAAAAAGAGAGAGAAGTCGTAAAATTTGATTAAAAGAGTACTTATTTGTTTAGATAATAATAGATTAGATGCAAATGCAATGCAGTTTCATATTGTATACTGTTTTATATTGAGAGACAAATAATATGATTAATTGATTTGCTTTTAAATTTCGGCGTTTTCTGCTCTCAATGTTTTGTGTCTTTGAATAATGTATTTCTAATTTAATGATTAAAATGCGTTTACTATGAATGACACTCAGATATTCACTTCGCTTCCAATTATTTTTAGTCTAACTCTTGTTTTTTGTGATAAATTTTACTTAACATTGAGTTTGAGTGTTGAAAGTGTGAATAATTAAATAGATTTTCATTAATCGTAAGAAATAATTAACTAAATATAAATCATATTTTAAGAGAACAAAAAATGCATTAAAAATTCAATTTTTCATTCATTTAAGTCATTATAGTTGTAAATAATTGAATATTTTGAGTAAAACTGATAGCAATTGGAGGGAAAGTCGTGTATTAGTAAAAACAATTCTTGAGTGACTTTTCTCTGAGAGAACACTGTGTTTAACTGTAGTCTCATATTTAACTCAATATAAATGTCATAAAAGATAATCTATTATTAAAGAGTGAATCAAATCAATATTATGCTATATATATATGACTAAAGCAAACTCATTCTCTATTTGACTGTATGTTTGACCAAACATTACTTCAAACAAGTATTAATGATTTGCCGGAAAAGTAAAGCGAAAAACTTTTGCAAAAAAGGCATAATTCATATAATCAATGGTCAAAAGCAAAGATTAAGACAGAATGGAAAGAGAGGTTCAGTTTTGTTACTTATTTACTATATTTATATTATTTTATATATGTTTGTGTGGTTTATGTGTTGTAGTAATGCAGATAGAGATGGATTATTTAGAGCACTGGACAGCCCCTTATGACCCCATTTGTCATTAATAATAGAGAATTGATGCCCAAAGAGAATACACACAGAGAAAGACATTCAATACACATATCAACCAAAAGCTGTGACCAAAAATCAAACCAAAACCGTTGCACAACATTAATGCTCACTCACTCACCCGCTCACTCACTCACTCACCCGCTCACTCACTCAGTCTCTCACTCACTCATTATATTTGGCATTACTTTTTGTGAAATCATTTTTGTTATTTCAGTTTTTCTTTTTGATCCCTTTTTCCGAAATAACGGAAATCAAATAATGCTAATGATGTCCATCAATGAAAGGCATTGACATGATTGCTATGATTGCAATGACTGGCCAATAGTACCCAATAGTGGCCTAACTGCACGACTATTCGACAAATACAATATCGTGACCGCAATGACCACCGAGCAAATGATTAACTCAATTATTATCCATATATTGATATTATAAATCATTTTTAGCAAAAATGTTTTGAGAACTAAATGTTTTCGAGTATATTATTCTCGTTTAATCTGACATTCATTTATGTTATGATTACATCATTACTGGTCATCGAAATGACTCGAGTATTGGAGGACCCAGTGGTCTGTCTGTCTGTCTGTCTGTCTGTCTGTCTGTCTGTCTGTCTGTAATCTATGTCTTTGAAAGCCCGCAGCAAGTGTTGTGTCATTGAGTATAACAAACACTTGAATCTATGATAAGTTTAGTCAAAGTAATAATTGAGTGGCGATTATGTGCCCCAAACAATACGGCATCAATAATGCAACGATCGCTACAATACTTATGAGTGAAACATAATATTTTATCATCACTTCAACCATCTCTCACATCACTAGAGAGTACTACTGCCGTGAACTCGTGTTCCGCCTGTGCTTAGCTCCCTGTGCTCTCTGCCTACAGCTTTGTCTGTGTTTTGATTCACTTTTCATCTTTTTTTATTAGCTTTGTATTTGTGTTTGTGATGCCATTATTATTGAGATGATGTGTAATAATACTAAAGTAATATTTGGGAAATAATGTTAGTCTAATGTCTGTCAGTGTGTATGAAATCTCTTGCGATTTGATCTCAATTCTCATTAGAAATGAAACACTTTTCATGAATTTACTTCACTTATCGTTGATATCGTCAAGAATTGCACTCAATTTTTATATTTTGTATTTTAGTTTTCAACCGGAATAACAAACTGACTATTAATGGCAAACAACTATAAAACACACATCTCTTTTGTTTTTTGTTACACTTTTTCTTTCAGTATTTTTGGATTCACTTCAAAATCATTGAGTCTCAGACTTGAGCTGTTATTATGTTATTATGTTATAGAGTTGTTGTCTTAATGGATAATAATAGTGAGATTTACTAATTTGTTTTAGTCGTCAAACCGTAATTGTTATCAAAGTTATTATTGTCGCTATTATTGTCGTCACTAAACGTTATTTTATCCTAAATTACATTTGCAATGCATTTCATTTAGAAATCAAGAATAGTAACCATAAAACATACGAAAAGGGAAACAGAGTTTGAAAAATAGCATTGAATTTCTGTTAATTAATTATATTTTCTAAAATTCTTTGCTTAAAAAATAACAATTATTTGTGTCGAGAAATTTTCTGATCCAAAAAATGTCAGATCTTTATCTATAATTCTGTTAAAACTCATTCAAAAAAGGTTACTCTTGTATTATAAATGATAATAATGAGATCGGGCAACATTCCAGCAATTATAGAAATTCCCGGAGAAACTCCTTCTCCTAGAGTTTAACATTTTTAATTCAATCTAAAGAAAATGTACACAAATTACACAAATTATAAAACAAATAAATACATCAATAATTTGATATATTTTATCACTTGAACGCATGTTATCTAAAAAAATCAATAGAAATAACTTATAGTATAACTATAAATGTTAATTCCGGGAATTAGAAAAAAGGGCAGAACTTTACTCATGAGTCAAAAGAGAGACATTTGAGAGGAGAAAGTGATTATAAATTCAAAAAATTTTGAATTGAAAGACAAAATAGAGTTAGAAAAGTGTATTTCGTCTGTCATTTAGTGTAGATTTGGATTTGGAGTTAGAATTGGCTGAAAGTGACTGTTTTAAGACAACCCAATCTCATCCCATTATCCCATTGTTATCCAAACATATTGTTCATCTCATGCGCGCAACTTATATAATACG